ATGTGGGTTCAGTTTCTGTTACTTCTACTATGTAGATTTATTATTTTTTTCCTTATATAGGAGATTTGAGCAAATCTGCAACCAGATTTACTGGGGAGGAATGATCATAAAGAGAAAGCTTATTCATTGTTCGAATAGTGCATCTGGATATTACTTGTAGGAAAGGAATATTTAATTTTTTTAATCAAATCACAAATACATATAGAATGGGATTTTTAGAATTTTTTTTTACAAAAATAGATATAAATTATCAGATAGGTCTAAATATTTCATTATTTGAAGCTTTTATATTTCTAGATATAAACTATTTTTCTATGCAAGAAATGTGTATATTTTATTAATCTTTATTACCATTTGGTCACATTAAATGCTGCTATTGGGGAGCTTTCAGAGAAGTAGTTCCATATCTGAAATTCCATTCAGTTTCTCCAAGGCTGTGATTCATAAAGGTATCTGCAGTAGGGCTATAAGAAGCTTCATTTCTTTCCAATGAAGATTTGAACGAAGCATCCCAGTGAAGTTTTGAACAAAACAACAATGGTTCCCTCACAAGAGAGGTCATTCAACAGGCAAGACTATAATCTGTTAGGCAAGCTCACAAGAAACCATGAGATCTTGATAAGTAATTCTGTATCAAAGTAAGGTTAAATCATATTCCTAAGAATTTTAATGACAGCTTTAAGAGTAAGCCTTATATAGAGAAACAGTATTTAACTTGTGAAATCATTTTTTGTTCTGTTCTTATGTAATAGACTATCTGGTCCCCTCTTTGTATGGAGGCTTGGTTTTCATCTGTTTTGGCAATGTCAGTTTTGCTGTTGTGCTGTTTTTCATTGTCTATATAAGAAGTAACTCTTATACTTCACTTCTAAGATGAAACTGACTGTTAACTTCAGAGCACCTTCGATCTTTTAGAGGTTGTACTCTGGAAAAAGGTTGAGAGAATCCTTTTCCTACAGCACCACCTAAGGGGTCTCCTCAGATAGGCAGTTGCACTGTGAGTTCTGGGGAATTCAAAGATTATACACTGAACAACTGAATCAATCACTACAGCATGTGCTGAATCCCCTTTGGCCAGAATCTCCTTGAGTTGCTAGAGCTATTTGGCCATGTTGAGTTGGCCAATGGCACCATAAAAGCTTTTCTCCTAATAAACTATCAAGAGAGTCTAATGATGTACACCCTTTTATTTATGTAATTATTAATCAAATTTATACAGCTGCCCATCTCATGAGACGTCTTGCCTTTTGTATCACTTGCCTCCTATCACTGCCAGTGAATGAGAGAGGAAAGAATATGGATGAGTTTATTGTATGTTCCTGGGCTTTCCCAACTGTTTGATAGCTGATATGTTTATCTGTCCAGCAGCATACATCCTTTTGCATTGTTGGCATTTTTCTGATCTTTGTCAGCAGATGAGAATGCTTCAGAGTTGTGTTCCTGGATTCTCCCGGCTACTCACCAGTTACAAGCTCAATGGTATTAAAAGATGCATCCCTTCATGCCTCTGGCCTTTTCCATTGGAAGCTGACCAATAATGAAATGGGGCCAAAATCCTTGGGGGAGTCCTTGAGAAAGGCCTTATGAGAAGAGCCTTTTTTATACTCATCCAGAAAACCCTTCAGACAATGCATTTGAGAAGATAATTCTGCCACACTGGCCAAAGTATTCAGTGTGCATCACTGAAGACATGTGCTGGAGATCTTCTAGGTAGGGTAATGTTAGGAAGACTGCAGGCAATCCCAAAGTTGTTTGGTTTGAAAACTTCCCACCCAGCTCTGGAGAAAAAGGCTTACATACAGGAGACTTCTCTTCAGCATAAGCCTGTAATGATATCAGGTCACACAAATTGCTTTGTCAAGGCAGATAGGCTGTTTGCTTTGGAAGAGCAAATTGGGTTGCCTGTGCAACCAGAATTACTTCAGATCAGGGTTTGAATTTGCAGGCCTAATCTACAATAAGGTAACTGAAACAAACCAAAGCCACTACAGGTAGTCCTTATTTAGTGATTGTTCGAAGTTACAGTGGTGCTGAAAAAAGTGACTTATGATCAGTTTTCACAGTTATGATCTTTACGGCATCACCGTGTCATGAGATCAAAATCCAGGCACTTGGCAACTGGCATGTATTTATGACTGTTGCCCTAGGGTCATGTGATTACCATCTGTAACTCAGCTGGCTTCTGACAGGCAAAGTCAATGGAGAAAGCCATATTCAATAACCACATGATTCACTTTAACAACTGCAGTGATTTGCTTAACAACTGTGGCAGAAAGGTCATTAAATTGGGCCCAGTTCACTTAACAGCTGTTTTGCGTAGCAATGAAAATGTTGGGCTCCATTGTGGTCATAAGTCCAGGACTACCAGTATAAGGAGATTCTATAGAAAATAATTCAGAGTCCCAGCATTTTTTTATTTGTATTTATTCCAGCAGCAAATGGTTTTCTCTGCAAGCACTTGGAACCAGCATTCCTAGTCTAGGAATTATTATTCGAAGTAATTCTGAAAAGCATGAAAGAATTAATGATATAATTCATAGATATTACAACTTTAGAGAATTGCATGAAAAAAATGTACAGCAGGGGTCCCCAACCCCCTGTCCGTGGACCTTCACTGGGCTGTGGCATGCGAGAAATCGGCTCATGCAAACAAGTGAAGCCTCATCTGTAGGATGCAGGCAGCATGTGAAACCATGCCCCCTCTGCTCCACAGAAAAACCTTTTTCCACAGAACTGGCCCCTGGTGCCCAAATGGTTGGGGCTTCTGATGTACAGGATGGATGGCAAAACCACATTCTCAAATCCTACTTCACTGTCTGATTTCTGTAGTTGACACTCCCTCTTGAATGCTATTTTCCTTCTGATTTGGCATTTACAAGCATAGAAATGTGCTCCCAAAAATAGAATTTCCCTCAGTCACCTCTAGTATAAAACCTTGTAATATAAGAACTATATAAAGTACAGTTGTATTTGTTGATAATGTAGCATGTATGTAATTTACAGCTCTTTAAATATCACTAATTCAAATATTGATGCTGAGATTGATATTGAGAGCCAGTTTGGTGTGGAGTTAAGGTGTTTCCCAGGAGACTGAGTTCGAAGCCTCCCTTAGGCATGAAAGCTGGCTGGGTGACTCTCTTAGCTCAACGTACCTTATTAGTTGTTACCAGGGGGGAAATAGGAGCTGGGAATATTAGGTATGTTCACCGTTTTAAGTTTAACAAAAAGCCAAAATACATTAAAAAGTCTGAATAAATCAAATAATAATTCAGTGGTTATAGATTTAAGCCATGATAGCAATTTATATTTAGTCCTCACTATATTTTCAGCAAGCTTCAGCCAGTTTCTTAACATGTATTTATTAACTGTTGTGTTCACCAGTTTGCTTTCTTTGTTTCCATTCTTTAAAAATCTTAGATAGATTATTTAATAGAATATCTGAAACAACTCTAAATTCTATTTTGTGGGCTGTGAGTATATAAAATGAAATTAAGAAATAAGATCATTTTTGAAAATCAGTTGATTAAAAATGAAAATGTGGCTAAATACTGTAGTTCATAATGTAGATGATTTAGATGACAAACCAGGTATGCACTTTTTTATGTTGTCTTAAATTATTTAAGAACAATATTCTTCATATATTCATTAGCTATTGCCAGTTTTCCTTTCTGATGCATTCTCAAAGTGGTAGACATTGTAGAATTTTATATGTAATGGTTTCATGGTAATTTTGAGAGTCACATGGGCTTCTACGCACTGTCTTTCTTCAGCTATGCCAATCTGTGGTAAAGTTCGGTTTTCATTCTGGTTGAAGCCATCTATTCCTCGTAAAAACACCAGTGAGCACCTATGCTAATGGGAGTGACCCTTGAAACAAAACTGGAAAATAGCTTAGAATAGAGTAATTTATGAATCTCTGAGTCATTCCCCCTCCCTCTCCCCCACTCCAAGATCTTGACAGCTCTCATTCTGAAGGTGTTCAGGAAGGCTCTAAAGCAGTGGTGGCGAACCTATGGCACGGGTGCCAGAGGTGGCACTCAGAGCTCTCTCTGTGGGCACACGCGCCATCGCCCCAGTCCTAGGCTTTCAGCTGGGTTTTATAAAATCTTTTCGCTTTAGGCCTCCACCGCCATGTACAAAAAAAGAAATTCAAACAATCAGTCAATTTCAACTTCTTGCGGGAAAAAAAATCTTGCAAAGTTGGAATTGATTGATTGAACTTTTTAGTCCCATACAGTCTGCCGTTACCACTGCAGTCACGCCCACCCAATGGGCCACACCCACTCAATGGGCCACACCCACCTGGCACCCGACGATGCATAAGTGGGTTTTGGGTTGCAGTTTGGGCACTCAGTCTCTAAAAGGTTCGCCATCACTTGGTTGTTCTCTCAGACCTTAAGGTGGGGATGCCTGTTACACTCCTTCGTTAGGAGTGATTGAGTTTTTGTTATGGTTGTTTCATTGTTGATGTTTTTGTCTGGACTGTCTGTTGTGGTATTTCTCTTTTCTCTTTATGTTATTGTGTCTGTATTTTGTTTTAAATTGTGAGCCGCCCAGGATCATTCTGGAGTTGGATGTGCCAAAATCAAATTTAAAAAAATAAACTTCTCTATTTGCCTATCACTAGATAAGTGATAGGGGATTGTTATATCTGCCCTCTGCCTTCAATGAAAATCTTTTCTAGTTCTCAGGGAATCTCTAAAGGAAGCCCAATTTTAGGGAAACCAACTGGAAATGATAAGCAAAAGGCTTGTTTTCAGAAGTGGGTGGGTCTGAAAAGGTTTGCATTCTCCGCAAAATTATTGCACAATGTTTTGTATCATAAATGTAGTTTGCTATAACTAACTTAAGTCAATAACATGAGATCGACTTTTTTTTTTAAAAAAATGAGGATTCTATTTATATATCTAGCCTTATCTTTAAACAACATTTTAGTCCTTACTTATTCTTTCTTCCTCTCCTTATAAACTTACAACTTAAAAATTTATGCTGTATCTTAGGCCCGAAACTCAACATCGTGGCCCTACTGCCCATGCAGAGAATGACCTTCCTGAACAAGAAGAAGAAATACTGGGGTCAGATGATGATGAGCAAGAAGATCCCAATGATTATTGCAAAGGTATGCAATTATAATTCTACATTTTCAGTGTGTTCATTTTAGGCCAGTAACTCTAGGCTAATAATATGACTGGATGAAACCTTTGCATAAGCCACATTATGAATTTGCTTTTAAGGGAAACCAGGAATTCATTTATTGAGAGGAAACCATGGCTTAGAAGATTTAAATCTGTTTATAGTTAAGAGCAGTTATCTCCTAAGGGTATGTCTTCTTTGTTAAACTAAACAATTTAACTTAATAACTTCAAGGTGAAGGAATATGCTTATTTCAGGTATATTTTATATACCTAATATAGGCATGAAAGTCAGCTGGGTAATCTCGGCTAAGTCATTCTCTCTTAGCCCAACTCACCTCACAGGGTTGTTGTTGTGGGGAAAATAAGAACCGGAAGGAATTTTAGGTATGCTCACTGCCTTAAGTGATTTATAAAAATAAAGGCAGAATAGAAATAAATTAAATTTAAATAAATATTTAAATGGTTCACAAATTGCAGAAGGAGCTGCTATTGCCCTTTGATGAGCAACAAGGCTCGGACTTGGTGCTTCCCTCAGAAAAAGTCTTGTGTCCATATCAAGGTCCTACACTTAGGTTTGCTAGCCCAGAGAATCTGCCCAAGCATATCTGTAAAAGATAAGAGCATTGGCTGTGGTTTGTCCCTTTCTCAGCTGTTCCCGGTGTTGCTCCTAGGAATCTGGAGTGAGGAAAAGTTATGACCAGTAGAAGACATCATGAGGAGGGGATGCTCTCAGTTTCTCTTAAAAAGTAGCTGAATTAAAGGGCTGGGGTAGAGGAATACCCTGAATACCAAATTCAGTCTGTTTTCCATTGCTTTCTGAATAGTTTTTTTTTGTTGTTGTTTTTCTTTAGAAAATAATGTTAGCTATGTCCACATTCACATTTCTTAACATCTCCTAGCCTTCACCATGCCTGTAAATCAGGAATGAAGATAGCCTTTATGTTTTCCAGGAAAATATGTTTTAATTATTAACTTAGTAAAATGAGTTGAAATATTCCAGAATATGAAAATGTACTTGCTGGTTTGAGACATTGTAGCCGCTTAGTAACACATGCATGCACAGAATTTATATCGGATTCATACATGTAAGCCCAAACCATTTTAAACTGCATTGCAGTTTTACTGTCTGCTTGATCAGGGTGACAAGTAGTTTGTTTGGATACACTTTGATGCAAAGCTTGGAGTGCAGTCTGATTTGGTGCACAATACTTTGTGTATACAAAGCTGGATCGCAGCGAGAATTTATTCCAGGTATACCTGGTGAAAACAACAGGCCTAGGAAATTACACAATCAAGTTTCTCCAAGCAAAAAGGACTCCAGTTTCTTGCACACTTAAAATTCCGTTACTGTCAGAAGATATCCCAATGAAATAATTTTATTTTATTCATAGAAGGGAGAGTGTTATAAACATTAATACTAGAAGTAATAAGAAATAATAGTGCTACAAAGTTTCAGAACCATGTCATAAAGCTTTCATTACAACTATTATTATAACGTACTAGAAAAGGAAAAGATAGTTTAAAAATAGTTTAATAAACACGAACATTTTAGAAGTAAAATACAATGAAAGAAATGGTTCAGTAGCCCAGAAAATGAAAGAAAAGCTAATAGCCTTTAAATGTTTGATGGAAGTAAATTCATGTAACACCTAAATGCCTAGTCTTTCCTGATTTGCCTTGTGAGAAAGGCAGAAGTATTCATGGGAATCTCAGTCACCACATAGAAAAAAGGTCTACAGTTAGAAAAAGTGTTAGATACTGTAAAAATGGTAGAATTCTTTGTGTTCAAATTACAATGTAAATATATTTAATTCTACTAATACAAAAAGCATTTATATGATATAGCAAAGATTAATAATTTCTTCCACTGAATTACATTTCTTCCTCTTCAGCGAAAAAGAATTTCTAAAATCTACTAATTATGCAATAGCTGTCAATGATAATTCTGGTTACATGAATCCAGTATTTTAGCATTTCTCTTAACAAAATAAAGGCAGCCCTCATTTAACATTCATTTGTTCAGCAACCGTTCAAAATTACGATGGTGCTGAACAAAGGGACTTATGACCAGTACTTGAAGTTATGGCCATTGCAGTTCCTTTGCGTTCATGTGTGAAAATTTGGGTGCTTAGCAATCCGCCTGCCCTTATGATTGACTGCATGGGCACTGCGACTGCCCCCACCTGCCCATCTCCTCTTCCCAATCTCAGTCACTCACCGGTGAATGCAAAATTGCTATGGCACTAAAGGGCAGGGCTGCTACCCACTTCATCACACCCAAGAGAGCTTTCAGGTATATAGGATGATTTATTAAAATGCAATATTGTGTTAATTTAGCTTGATTTATTGGTTTTTGTACTGTAAAATTTTCTGAGTTTTCTGCATTTGCGTCTATATAAATTTATGCAAGTAAATTTAACTTTTTTTGTTGAAGTTACAGCATATCCTCAGTTTAACTGTATTGATTTAATAGTTCATTATACATTTTGTAGGTGGATATCATCTAGTAAAAATAGGAGATCTGTTCAATGGAAGATACCACGTAATCCGAAAACTGGGATGGGGACACTTTTCTACAGTGTGGTTATCGTGGGACATTCAGTAAGTCTTTGGTTGGAGTTTCTGTTAATTGTTCAACAATATTATAGATAAATTGCATTTTTTTCTTTTCCTATTATTTTGAAATCCAGAACATTCCTATTGTGTTTTATAAACAGAGTGATACGGATATAATGTTCAAATGTATTTTGTCAGGATTCATCCCTTTGTATCATTTGTTCATGGTTGCGTTTCATACGCCTTGGGGATGACACTTTGCTCAAGAATGATCTAGAGCAGGGGTCCCCAGCCTTCAATCTGTGGCCTGGCACTGGTCCATGGCATGCCAGAAACCGGGCCGCACAAACAAGTGAAGCCCCATCTGCGAGATGCAGGTAGCACATGAAACCATGACCACCCCCCCCCCCCCCGGTCTATGGAAAAACCTCTCTCCACAAAATTGGTCCCTGGTGCCCAAAAGGCTGGGGGGGGGGGCGCTGATCTAGAATTAGCTCTCTCCAACCAATCTCTCCACACACTCACCACCCACAGGAGATAGTTCTAAGCTCTCATATTTTTATCTGTCAGCATACGTGGTTCCTAAGAATAATTTGAAATTAAACTTTATGTCCATTAGGGGGAAGAGATTTGTGGCAATGAAAGTTGTAAAGAGTGCTGAGCATTACACAGAAACAGCTTTGGATGAAATTAAACTCCTGAAATCTGTGAGTATACAGAAGTAAATTATTACAATATAGCTTCAAACTATATTGTGAAAAGAAGCACTGTTTGTCACAGCTGGCTAACCTTGCATGTCCTGTTTCCTTTCATATGTAGATAATAAGAGAAATTTCAGTTTTTATGTGCTTAAAATTTGGTTGGATTTAGTTATAAGCTTTAGTTGAGAGTGGGGAATATACTGTTCATGTCATCATCTGCAGATGTTATTAACATTTTTTAATAGTATGTTTTCAGGAGAATTTTATGAAGGGATTGAAAATGGGAAATGCAATTTCGCTAGATGAAATATGAATTATTGTCTAAGCAGATAATTTGGATATATGCTTTTTTAAAAACATGTTAAGGAAAATAATTGTTAATATGAGAATGTGGCTATCTAAAGACAGTCAGAAATGATGATTCATTTGGGCACTAACTCTTAAAAAAACAATAAGAGGATCTGGAAAAATTCTTACAAGATTTGGAGGGATCTTCCTGTACTCATTTTCTTCTGTCATTTGATAGATTTTTTTTCCTCTCCTTTATACAGGTCCGCAACACTGACCCAGATGATCCAAATCGAGACGGAGTAGTTCAGCTTTTAGATGACTTCAAAATCTCAGGAATTAATGGTTCCCGTATCCTTTGAATAGAATGGATCACAAAGCATGGGTTCAAATGACAAATTTACATAGCATTTAATGTACCGTAACACTAATTTCTGTCCATTGTTCAGCCATTGCAATCTATGGGGCTTTGACTTTGCTGTGAGGTATAATAGCAGAATTATTAGCACTTAACATTCTAAGCTTATCCAACTATGCCAACTATGGTTGTTAGGGTACTTTTTAAAAAAAAAAAAAAAGATGTATAGCTTTTTTAAACGGGGGAAAAGTCAAATTCCTTTAAGATATAGGGGAAAAAGGTTTATTTTGGTATTGAAAGCTTAAAAAATTAATAATTTCATTCCATGTTCTGATCTGCTATATAATCTCTGAATTCAAATATGGAATGGTCTATAAGTCTTCATACTGTGCCATTGCCCATGTTTCTTGATACCATTCAGTCACAATACTATTACAGATGCTGTATAAAAGTTAATGCATACAAAAAGAATTCTAATACAACATTTCAAGAGAAATTTCATTATTGGAATAGTCTAGAAATTCACCCTTGACTCAGCTCAGATATTTGTATGGTATTTGAAGTTTTAGGGCATCATCTTCTGAAATGGATCATCAAATCAAATTATCAGGGGCTTCCACAACTTTGTGTAAAACAAATCATCCATCAGGCAAGTTCCATCTCCCATACATTTCAGTTCTAATTTTGCATTTAAAGTTTGTTAAAAATACTTTTGTCTTCAGGGTTTATTAACAAAACATGCTGTTGAATGCATGAGATATAGATAGTCCTTTAATTACAATGGCATTTGGGATTGGCATTGCTATTGCTAATCAATACGGTTGTAAAGCATGACATCATCATTTAGTGATGGCAACCCAGACATTCTCAGTTATTGTAACCCAGGCATGTCAAACTCACGACGTCATGTGACGTCGCGCAACGTATAGGGCCGGTTTTGTCATTGCCGGCAATGTGACGTGTCCGGCCCATGGGCCGGCAGTTTGACACCCCTGTTGTAACCCCAAGACATACTAGTCTGCCTGTACAAAATGATCAGTAATTTTTTTGAATCATTAAATACCACAATAATTTTATTATTGCCCTTTAATAACTGTTAGTACTTCTGGATGAGGTTCATTCTCTCTGACTGAATTGGTTTGTAACCTGAGAATCCTCTTGACTTAGAACTTCTCAAGAAGCAGGTGGCAATTTTAGTTAGGAGAGTCTTTGCACAATTCCTTGTGTATAGAAATTATGGCCATTTCTGTATCCAGAGGCCATAATCCTACTTTGATCTCCTTTCAGTTTGACTTGCTATTCACTCTAGATGGATTTGACCTGAAGACCATCAAGAAGATACAGTAGGTCCCAGAAACAATGACTGGAGTAGTTAAGGGTACTTCTCAGTTTACTTAAATAGTCACTACTGCTAAAGCTGCACTGGTTGGCATTTGGCTTCTAAATACACAATTTAGGGTGCTAGTTTTCACCTTTAGAGCCCTTGCTTGGGATCTGAATACCTGCAGGACTGTTTTCTTTCAAAGATACCGTCCCATCCAATAAGATCTAGTAAGGAGGGCACCATTCAGATTGTTGTTATTAGGGACAACAGGATTGTGTCTCCTGCATCTCTACCTTTCACCTTTGGAACAAGGTTCTACCTAAGGTCATCATTAACCCTGTTGGCACTAGAAAAGCTGCTCAAACTTGGCTATTATGGAAAGCCTCTGGAGGCTTTGTAAGACTGATCCTCTCCTTAGAGTATTGTTCTTATCACTGTTTTGGGGGGAAAAGGTTGGTAATAGTTATTTGGATTGTTAGTTTTTTTTTTTTCTTTTATCTTTGAAAGCTGCCCAGAGTCTCTGAGAGTGAGTTGGCCAGCCATATGCATTTTGTTAAATAAATTAATTTCTGCATTCTTTGTAAGTTGCTTTCGGACTTCTTAGAATTGAGCTACATATAAAGTGCAGTAAAAAAATGTTATAGAAGTAAAGTGGACAGGAAACTTAATGTAACCCAACCAAAGTGTCAGAGGGTACTTCTGAGCTATAATTTTATCTCATGGTGAAACTGTTGGTCCTTTTTTGCAAAGCAAAAGCAAAGCAGAACTGCAGGACCAGATAAATAGCTTTGTGTAGAAAAATCAAGGAGAAATGGAATATCTCACTAGGAGAGACCACAGATATCACTATTCTGACATGCAACATTGAGATCTGAGCTGTATGTTAGCATGCCGTCTCTTCTGTGAGGAGGAATCATGTGAGTTAATAGGAAGTTAATAGGAAGTGAAAAGCAAATAGCGTTGAGAGAATGCTGCGAAAAGGAGGTCAGATACATTATAAGCATGCACTTTTTCAACAGATGTGTTTAAAAGTATCTCAAAGGAAGGCAAAGAGGAAATCATTTCTGCACTGTTGCCCCCAAATTGAATAGATATGTACATGAAATCACTAGAAATTAAGCTTGATTCAAAGAAGATTACTTTTATCTTTATTAAATTCTGTCTCTTCAGTATTCCATTAAATGTTCTATGTTGTATGCAACCTGAGTACTTGATTTCTTTTATCTTTTGTGTTTTGCAGGTCTTGCAAGGGCTGGATTATTTGCATTCTAAATGTCGGATTATCCATACTGATATTAAACCAGAAAACATTTTGCTGTGTGTTAATGACCAGTACATCCGTAAACTAGCTGCAGAAGCTACAGAGTGGCAAAGATCTGGAGCCCCTCCGCCTTCTGGCTCTGCAGGTTTGTGCTTCCTGATTGTTGTCACTTCAAATTTGGTTCATTCTCATGACACCCTCAACTATTCTGACCCTCATTAATCTTCTTAATTCTTTTTTTGGCTTGGATGGAGGGCAGGTGTTAACTTCTATCTGGTGATCTAATTTGTTCTGTTAATAACCCAAACTAAAGGACGAGATATACATTCTTGAAATAAATAATATGGAATATTTCAGTTTGTTTACAATGAATATGTTTTATAAAAAAGCTTGGGAAGAAAATATAAATTGTTGTAAATGTAAAAGACCTAGATATTTAAACTGTATTAATAATTTTAGGTAGTTAAATGCAAATGTGACTCTGATTTCATTTAAATCTTTTTTTAAAAAATGGCACTATAGGTAGTCTTTGAGGTATGACCCTAATGGAGCCTTCTTTTCAAAACTATTTTTATGACTTTTTTTTAACCACTGTTCTCTCAGTCACTCATGTCCTGATCATCTCCCAAATGGATTGCTATAATATACTTTATGTTTGCCTTCCCTTGAAGAATATCAAATTAAGGAGCTAACTATGACATTTAACCATGTTATCTGAGGGCTACTTCTCCACATCAGGTCCACCAGGATGGGCATGTTGTTGTTCTAGTTGGTTAGGGAGCTTCATTATTCAAGTGCTAATCTGGCTCTGCTTATTTATTTTGAGATCAATCAGTAAAGTCTGTGATATTAAGAAATGACATATAGAATATTTCAGCATTCTCCCCAAATATGTTTTTCTGTGAAAAATTGGGAATTCCATTGCAACAAAATTTCTGAAAATTTTCTCTCAAAGAACATTAATGTGTTAGAGGTGAATCATCATTGTTTGTCACACAATCAGCCAGATGTTCAGACTGAATCTGGCATTTTTATCCACCTATGAGTCCTTCCCAAGGACCTGGGATAGGCAGATGTGAATGTTTGACTATATGAGGCTTACAGTGTGATAACCCATTCCTGATGGGTTACGTTTTAATGTGAATATCATCTTAATAGAAATAATATTCTGTTTAATAAAGATTTGTGTATTGTATAACTCAGTGATGGCAAACCTTTTAGAGACCGAGTGCCCAAACTGAAACCCAAAACCCATTGGATGTGCCAAAATCAAATTTAAAAAAATAAACCGGGTGGATGTGACCCATTGGGTGGGTGTGGTCCATTGGGTGGGTGCGGCCTATTGGGTGGGCACGGCTGCAGTGGTAATGGCAGACTGGGTGGGACTAAAAAGTTATATCAATCAATTCCAACTTTGCAAGATCTTTTTTTTCCCATGAGAAGTTGAAATTGACTGATTGGTTGAACCTTCTTTTTTTTTTTTGCACATGGCGGCGAAGGCTAAAGCAAAAAGGTTTTATAAAACCCAACTGAAGGCCTAGGACTGGGGCGACAACGCAAGTGCCCACAGAGAGGGCTCTGAGTGCCACCTCTGGCACCTGTGCCATAGGTTCGCCGCCACTGGTATAACTTGTACACTATCATTGGCTCCTAGAATGGAAACATGCTAATGATGCTTTTGCTTTACTTCACAGTGAGTACTGCACCACAGCCCAAACCAGTAAGTTTGATTATTTCCACTTTTTATATTTACATGATGCATTACATGGTGGGAGAGAATCTTGTTGTCATTAGCTGTGTTTTTTAGATTTTAAGAGTTAAGAGATTTGGGCCATGCCTCTTTCTAAAAGCAAAGAGATAATGGAATTCATTTTAATGAAACACTTTTTCTTGTCACAAAGCTCTTTTTGTGGTGTTACTTACTAAAGCCAGAAGACGCTTCTGCCCCAACTTTGATGAGATTGTGCTGGAGAATGTCAGCAATATGCTGTCAAGAAATAAAACAACTCCTCTCTTTAAAGCAACAAGGCCACATTGCTTCTTTAAGAGCATTTCACTTAATGCTCATTTCACTTCCCTTCAAAAATTTGCACAGCCCTACAACATTGATACTTAATGAGCATATAGTGGTTCTTTATTTAATCAGTGGCATATAGACGACAGTAAAGTGTTAGGGAGAATTGGCATTCCACAAACAAAGAAATAATGATACAGTTTAACAGTTTTGTAAGTTTCAGTTATTAGTGAAAACTGTTAACACTTTGAAAGGAGGGCATTAAACCAGGGGTCCCCAACCCCCAGGCTGTGGCCCATTACCAGGCCTTGAGCCTTTCAGAACCTGGCTCCAGAGGGGGCAGTTGAATGCACATGCGTGTATCTTCACTCATGCAAGCAGTGGGTGAGCTCGTGCGGGCACACTCATTTGCACAAGTGTTGGATGTGCATGCCTACCACTCATATGGAACCATCTCTTCCCCCTGCCAGTTCTCAAAGCCAAAAAGAAAATGAGAAACTCTGCATTAAACCATCTATAGGTAAATCAGCTGTCACCACAGAGAGTTTCCATGTAGCATCTTTGCTATAGTATACTTAACAGCCAGTGAAATTATGAGAACAGGAGAGAGACTGAATTAAAGCTGAACTTTACAATCCAAATGATGGCTGCTTAGATGGAAGTATGTTCTGTTGAACCCAGTGATATTTCTTACTAGCCATTACTAGTTTTCTGTGTATATAATATATCTTTCTTTAGGGATCGCTAAGCAATTCCCCTTTTATTATTTATATGACTTTGAAAAAAAATGCCTACTAAATTATTATTGCAATAAACAGTAGACATGTAAAAGTTAGCTGATTTGCATTTATCTCTTAGGCTGACAAAATGTCCAAAAATAAGAAAAAGAAATTGAAAAAAAAGCAGAAACGACAAGCAGAACTGTTGGAGAAACGAATACAAGAAATCGAAGAGATGGAGAAGGAATCAAATCCTCTGCAAACTGAGTCTGAAGAACAACAAGAAGAAGTGGAGAGACCAGTTGAGCTAATTTTAAAAGAGAGCTCCCCAGATGAGGGGCTGCCAGCAAAGACAGGTATTGATCTCTAGGAAAAAAAAGTGTTTGGGATCAACGTATTACTCTAATCCTGCATTCTTTGATGTAATCCTGCATTCTTTGAAGCTGAGCGGGTCTTAAAAATAAAGATTTGAATTGATCAAAGTTTCAAGAGATTTGGACTGATAAATTTTAATTGGCTAAATTAAATTTTCCTAACATGTGTAATAAATATTTAAACCTAAGTAATGTTCAGATCATCATTATCTTTGGGCCTAGAGGATGGTGATGGAGAAAAATGATGAAACGTTATTTATACCATCTTAGAAAAAAAGATGGAACATCAGCAGCGATGATAATAATAATGTAAAAAAAAAAAATGGTTGACTGGCCTGTATTTCCAGTTGCCCCTTATCAGGATTCATTGTCATTCCTTTTGTGTCTGTTCTTCCCTTGACCCATAGTGTCTGCTTTTTTTCTTTTTTCAGAGCAAAGTAGCTTAATGGAGGGAATTGAAAAATGTGTAACAGAAATCAATTGCAATGGATTGGTGCAAATGTCTGCCTTCTCAAAATCCATCAGTCAAGTAGCTGTGAAACTCGAGGAGGACGTTCATAATGCCAATGATTTCACTGACCCTTCTCAAGAGCAGGAAGAAGAGAGCAGTGCTTACAGCCAAAGCAATGGTGGTTCAGAGAACCTAATACAGGAAGCAATATCACAGCTTCCTGTACCCTTAATTTCAGAGGTTCTGGATTCAATGGTTTGTCAGGAAGCCACATGTGAGGAGCAGTATTTAAATGAACAGCAAATCAGCCAATTACAAGAAAGCATCCGGTCAGAAATTCCTTCGGAAGATGAGAATGAAAATAATGGGTCTTCTGAAAACAGTAAAGGTACAGCACATTGATTCTTTGTCATAAATAGTTTATTTTCAAGAAGAATATTCTTTTTAAAAAAATATGTAACAATAAGCTGCTCAGAGTTGCCTCAAAGTGTGAGATGTGTGGCATATAAATTTAATTTAAAAACCCCTAATATTTTCTGGTTATATAGGTTTTTTCTAAGCACTGTCCATATATGAGTCTAATCTTACAAAGATCTTGTACAGTATGTTAATATTTTGAAAATTAGACCATTTATAATCCATAATTTGAGTTTGACATGTTTTAAATAAATCATATTTAAGTTTATTTCTTTGGCTTAAGGAGATAGCAAGCTTGATTCCCACTATGATTTATAGTTAAACCATTGTTTATTGTAATTTTTAAATCACTTCATTGGTATGAATTTTACGAAAGATATTCCAAAGGTTTTTTTGACAAAAAGGATCTTCAAATTACATTTTTTATTGTAAGCTGCCCAGAGGGAGGAAGGGAGGGAGGGGTAGGTAGGTAGGTAAGTAGGTAGGTAGATAGATAGATAGATAGATAGATAGATAGATAGATAGATAGATAGATAGATAACAGATAGTTGAGCTAACTAATGTTTATGCTGAGTCTAGAAAAAGCTGCTGCTGGAAATTTCCTCCTTAATCCGCTTGAGCCTGGGAATGCAGAAAAACTCAAAGTGAAGATAGCAGATCTAGGAAACGCTTGCTGGGTGGTAAGTTTATTATCCTTTCCCTACTGAATGCCAACATTGCTAATTTTGCAGTTTGCTGGAATGAACATAGTTACTATTTAAAATATATTAACAGACTTCTACAAATGCAAACTTAATTTGTTCATAGCTCTTAAATTGTTCTGTGTTCCCTTGAGAAGATCAGTTCTTTCTCATACAAATTTTCAAAAGGCTTGATTTTATTGAGTGTGCTGTAAGTAGAACTGTCAGAATTTCACCCTAAATTTGTACTTTAAAGTAACTCCAATTTTCAATCCAACATCAGAAATGAGAATTCCAGCATCCATGCCCTTATTTGGAAAAGGTATCTTATATCTGCTAGCAACCAGCTTATTGTGGCTGCTATAAAGCAAAGAGGTATTAGTTTGTTAGATTAAAACAATGTGATATATTTACTTTGATTGTGTATTCCCTTGTAGAAGCTCTTAATTCCATGGATAGCATAGGTGGAATTGCAAGATCTTTTTTCCCCTTTTTATTTTGAGCTGTACTATATTTAGATCAGAGAACATTAACTTTTTACTCAGAACTGAAAATAAATAAAGGTGTATGACTTTTCTGAAGGTCATTGTTGTACAGGTATCCTGGCTCATTTTTGAACTTGTATGAGGCAATATTCTGCTTATTATCTATGTGAAACTATTTAGTTTTTCCTATACAGATTAAAGAAGAAAAGATGGAATATGTTCCATTATCCCTTTCACAGATAATGCTGAAAGCCATTCATATGAAAGCATCCTAAGATTTTTTTTAAGCCAGTTAATTAATATATTAAATGTTTGCATGATGTATGCCATTAGAATAAAAGACAAATTGGACTTGATTTTATTATTTTTGTTTTTCAGTATACTTTGTATGTATAAAACATACAAAAAACATTCTATCCAATCAGTTTAATTTAGAAAAAAATATATAATATAGCATCTATAGCATGCAATATTACATATGTAAAAAATGTAAAAAGAACTCATGATTAAATGTATGAACATTTATGTAAGAAAGCTTGCCCCACAGTTTCCATGATCTTGGTCCATGCAGCCCAATGTCTTCAAGGTACATGGGAAAGCTGCTTTTAATTGTTAATGAACAGACCATGCACCCCAAGATTCACGGTTTATGCTCAGCTCAGCACATTTTTTGCATTGAATCAATTTTTAAAATAATCTGATTTAGTCATAGAAGTTCCACTAATCTTTGTTTGAGAAGGCTATATTTTTTATGGAATGGAGGTGGGAAATTTCAATCCCATTGTTTGTGTTGCTTTTCTAATTTTTTCTTAATTTTGCAGATTCAGATTCAAGGGCTGGTAACTCAGATTCATTGTTCACAAAAGGATTTCAATACACCAGAAAGCAATAGTTGCCCATTTCTTTTAGCAGAAGTACTAGTTTAGGGTATAGCAGTGGGATGGCCTGCCTTGAGCATCTCCAGTTCTGCTTCTAGTGCTTGAAAAATGATGGAAGAGGACACTGCTTGCTTGCTGTCCCTAGTGTGTGGCTTTAAAAAAAAAATAACTTCTGCTTTTGAAAATGTAAGGTTAAATAGTTGCAATTTATTTTAAAAGAGAAGGACAGACAGTTTGGAGTAAATGATTAATACAGCATCTTAATGGAAACTAAGATAGAATGAAATACATTTAGGAGAGAAAACAATAAAAAACAGGTAATTAATTACCATCTTCCTCCATGGCTACATTGCTAGTAATTGTATGGATCCCCTGGACTTTAATTGATGTCATTAGTGAACTTTGTGGGATTTAGTTTTGTTAAAAAATGTATAAATATACAGAATTTCCCAGATGTGTATGAGAATCTTAAGGCTCCCTCGAGGATTTATATTACAAGTGAGTCAGATCATCTTACTTCCTTCTTAAATTTTGAAAAACTAGATAGAAATTAGAGGCACACGTCTTACTAATCATAGAAACTTATTTTGCTTCAAGTTGTAACACGTTTCTTTTTCAGCATAAACATTTTACGGAGGACATTCAGACAAGGCAATACAGAGCTTTGGAAGTACTGATTGGAGCAGGATATAGCACTCCAGCTGATGTTTGGAGCACTGCCTGCATGGTAAGCTCGGTTATACTACCTAAACTTCTTGTACGATGTTGATTCACAATTTGGAAGGATTCTATCACAAAAAAATTGACTTAATTTCTACAATCAGTGGTGGTTCATTTTATGTTGTGTATCACCCTGAAATCTGATGTGCTAAAAAGCAATATTTCGATTACTTTAAATGTCTTTTTTAACAGAGCACTTCATTTAATAAAAATGATTTTTTCATTTTAATTTTATAACTGACAAGTACTCAGATCTAATATTCAAAAACACTTACAAGTCTTAGTAATTTGCCTACTTACAAAACAGTAAGCAACAGACACTGCCTTAAATCAAATTTGTGAAAAATCTGACGTATGTTGCAAAGCACGTCTAGGACACGTCTAAATTACAGAATCATTCCACATTATGGAATAATTAGAATTATGCTTTAGCACTTTGATCATTTACAAATATTTTTTCCTGATAATTATCTATCATTTTCATCTTCAGGCCTTTGAACTGGCTACAGGTGACTATTTGTTTGAGCCTCACTCTGGTGAAGATTACTCTCGGGATGAAGGTGAGAACTATGCCAGAACCTGGATAGTAAGAAAATCAGCAGAGAAATATGTCTGTGGGGGCGGGGGTGAAAGAAAATCAATCTTAGATTCTCCTATATAGTATCTTGGAGAACATTAAGGTTTGCAATAGTGGCAAATAAATAAGTTTGGCTATAAGTTAGAAACATGGATGGCAGAATCAATTTCTGTGATTTTGCAGTAATGATCTCAGCAACATTTGTGTCTATATTAAGGACACAAATTTAACACATACATATATTTCAGTAAGTATTTTGTGAAGTTTGTGTTACATTGCAGAGTAATGTGGGATAAAATTATAAAAAGAACCATGCAAAATGACATGAGCCACAAAGAGACAAACTCAGAGGTTCCCTCATAGGCATTTACTTTACAAAAATGCCTTGAACTACATTTCAGGACACAATTAAATGTGCTCAGGATATTAGTTGATTTAAATGTACTGATCAGTATATGTTGCTGATTACCTTAAAGTTCTTGCTGTTACATTTGAAGGCCATGTAGTAGAAATTCCATCGGTCAAAGTCAAACCACACAAGTACATTGAACTACTCTACCAGAAAGATATTTAACTGGGAATCATAATTTATCTTTTACTTATTAAAATGACTCACAACTACTAAAAAAGCACAAACTGTTAAGCAATCCAAAGCAATATTTTCTGATCTCCGCGGCCTCAGGAAAGCCATGTTTATGAGATTTCTGCATATTAGGAGATCTCAGCAAAATGGAGGTAGACTTTTTTGCTACATTCCAAAAACTACACATCCAGTCCCAAAGTTCACAATAAAGTCAATATGAGTTAATGCTAATTCTTATGGTCTCTGCTTTATCTTCTCCCTGGAAGCACAGATCATATTGCGTTGATTATAGAACTTCTGGGGAAAATACCTCGTAAGCTCATCGTATCTGGAAAATATTCCAAGGAGTTTTTCACCAAAAAAGGCAAGTGGGAAAAATAATTTGAATATTTTAAGATTTTATTGTAAAGTTGAGAAGATTTGTACTGTATTTCTGAGACATTTCAAGAACATTGTACTTCAAAGTACAATAAAAATTGAGTCTAGTCTGCTTCTGTCTGTCTATTTGTCTTTCTGTCTAGTTTTATTTATGGCAAGTGGCCCCAAATAGCAAAGAACAAATATAGTATAAAATTTGGTATTAGATGAAACATTGCTAAATAAAATTATTGATAAAAGAATATTCTGTGTTTACTCAGTATAAACAACTAAAATACATAGAGAGCAGAAAATTGTAGTTTATTCCAAAAGTCACAGGTGAACATGGAACTTTGGCTTTTCCATTAATTCCTATACTAAAATAACTCCAATTTTGCTTAACACAATAAAATCCTGAGGTCTAATCCTGGAATACAGATAAGCAGAAGTATCTGAGCATCTCTTTGGTCAACTATTTAAACCATGAATTTACAAAATAATCATTTGGGATTTCATGTAGCAATCCTTCCTTGGTTTTAAAATCATGTATTTGCAACTTAATAGCATTTAGCAAAGTTTTTGTTTTCAAAGGGCATTGTCCAGTTTCCAGGAGAATAACAGTTTCAAATATAATTTGGAACATTTAAAAAAGATCTTAAAATCATTTGTAGTTGGGCTCTTATTACTAACAACTGTAATCCAAATTGCAGCTCCATAGAAAATTTAACATGCAGTTTTTGCATTAAATACCTGTATTAATACATGGACAAATCTCTGTCCTTTTAAATTAAAATATTAAAGCAGGATCAGCATAGTAGCTTTTGCTTTTAGAAGTATTGCCTTGCAATGATGTTGCCAGGGCAGAGCATGGTGAAATAAAATGGCTCAGATAACTAAAATTCTCAACCTGTATTATCATAAAGTTTGGAATTTTTCAGCTTTACTTTTTGATCTTTTTTCTTTACTATGATAGTGTTATAGTTGATTCATAGTTGATCGTCTTGGCAATACTTGTGTAGTGTATTAAGTAGGTGTTTTCAACCCAATCTAGTACATGAATGAAGAACAGCATCAATTCTATACAACATAGTACACATTTTCATTTTGGTTATAATGGGCAGTGGCCGTTAGCCTGAGGTAATAGAGACTCCAGATCATTGATATAGAGATTAAATAGTATTGAGGCCAAAATACAGTCTTGTCTTATTCATTTTGTTGCTTGTAAATACAACTTTTCCATTTAACCTATGTTATACTATCATAATATGATGCCCATATTAAAAATGCAAGATGCCAGTCAGGGAACAAATTCTTTAATGTTAAATTAAAGAATTTGTTCCCTGACTGGCATCTTGCATTTTGATTCCAATAATAAAATCAAGCCTCTACAGGCAGCAAATTGCCTTTCAGGAAATGGAATATTTTTCGTCCTAGATATTCTAATATAAAAACACCGATCAGTTATTCTGCCAGGTCTAAAATAACCTGAGCGTTTGCAAAAACAAAGTATTCCTCATGAAAGAAGATTATTTTTCATTAAATTGCTATATTTTTAATAGTAAATTTTGTTAAAGATTACAATTACAATAAGAAAAAACAATAGAAACCAAACAAAAAAAGTAATTTGTACTACTGAGTTTTCCCAGGATTGATAGCAAACTAAACTTCCTATAATTGATAGGGTCTTTTATTTTTCTCTTCTTATACAGGTAGTCCTTAACCTACAACCACAATTGAACCCCAAATTTCTGTTCTTAAGTGAAATAGTTATTAAGTGAATTTTGCTCCATTTTACAACTTTTCCTGTCACAGTTCTTAAGTGAATCACTGCAGTTGTTAAGTTAGTAACACAGTGGTTAAGTGAATCTGATTTCCTCGTTGACTTTGCTTGACAGAAGGTCACGAAAGGTGATCAGGTGACCTCTGCAACTGTCATAAATGCAAGTCAGGTGCCAAGTGTCCAAATTTTGGTCACATGGCTATGGGGATGCTGCAGTGATCGTAAATGTATTGAAAAGTATTCGGAGACTACAGTTGGTCCAGAATGCAGCCGCGCGAATGATAGTGGGTGTTCCTCGGTACACCCACGTTACACCTATCCTCCGCGAGCTGCACTGGTTGCCTATTGGTCTCCGGGCCCAATTCAAGGTGGTGGTTATTACCTTTAAAGCTCTATATGGCTCAGGGCCAGGCTATTTGCGAGACCGCCTACTACCTCATAGTTCCCTTCGTCCGGTTAGATCCCACAGGCTGGGCCTCCTTCAGGTCCCATCGGCCAAGCAGTGCCATTTGGCGGGGCAGCGGGGGATGGCTTTCTCTGTGATGGCGCCCATGTCTTGGAACCAACTCCCCCCGGAGATTAGGACCGCTCCCACCCTGTTGGTTTTCTGCAAGCTGCTTAAGACCTGGCTTTTCCGGCAGGCCTGGGGTTTATAAAATCTGATCCCTGGATGAATGTTACTGTATTGTTTGTCTTGTTAAGTTATATTGTGTTTTTATTGTTAGCCGCCCGGAGTCCTGCGGGAGTGGGGCAGTCTATAAATTTCAATAAATAAATAAATAAATAAATAAAATGTGAAAAACGGTCACTGAAAATTACTTTTTTCAGTGCCACTGTAACTAAATGAACTGTTTTAAGTCAAGGACTAACTATATGGAACCGATAGCCCTATTCCAACCTGAAGGAACTGAACCAGAATTTTTTATTCCTGGAAATAGGGCTGCTAATAGAAGGCCCTACCAATGTGGTTTTGTTTAAAGAGTTTGACTGATATATTTTTCTTGGCTAGAAACTTTACCAGAGTTTATTATTGAAATAAGAAATTTCGAGATGAAAAGAGAAGTGTTCTTAACTCAGGCTGGCAATTACGCCAAATGAACCTGAAAACTAAATGCTCCAAAAATATATAATATCACTAATGCAATGACGTCCTGTATGACAGCTAGTCCAGTTTCCTATGTTTCTGCACATGTTTCTTCTATATTGAAAAGAATCACCTTTTATGTTGGGTGATAAATATACTTATTTGGTCTCTTTGAAGATAAGGAAGAATACTTAGAATACCTGATTTCTCAATCATGCTTTGAAATCTAGACTGCTTAAAACATATTCTGCTTAAAATATATTCTGCTGTGCAGTGCTGTCTGCCTGCCTCCCTGCCTGCCTGCCTGCATAATGGAAATTATGAATTTTGGAACAGAAAAAAGTGTTTCTTTTCTTTTGAAATGCATCTTTTAACTTAGTTCTGTGAACTGTTCTGTTGGCCTTCCTCCACATGTTATATTAATATTTCTGTTATTATTCACAGGTGATCTGAAGCACATTACTAAATTAAAGCCATGGGGTCTCTTTGAAGTATTGGTGGAAAAATATGAATGGTCCCAAGATGATGCAGCTGCATTCACAGACTTCTTATTACCTATGCTGGAGCTGAATCCTGAAAAAAGAGCTACAGCAGCACAGTGTCTCAGGCATCCCTGGCTCAACTTCTAAACACTCCAGTCTGATATGGTGGCCCTCTAATTGGATTACAGGATAAAATATATAAACACTCACACACACATGCACACATACACACACACACACACATACACACAGAGAGACATACACAAACCTAGATGTCCCAGCTGTCCCTTTTCCTTCTTCCAGGTCAACTTTTTCCTTGTTGATTTTCAGAGTGAAGCTTCTCCTTGAAGGCTTTTTAGATTTTAGATAAATCTAACTGTTCATGTGAGATTGTGTATTTGACTTGGTGGGGACTATTACTAGCCAGTGGACATCCAATATGATTTGCAATGATTGGAGTTTGCCAAAGAATTTTTATGGGAATGTTGAAATTATTGCATAGTCTCTTCCTTACACAGATACCTTACCTAAAAGGAAATCTTCATGGGGATAAAGTCCCTTAAGTATATTGCAGTCATCCCAAGGGGGATGTGACGAGCTTGTGAATCCCTCCTTAGCTCACTGACTCTGGGAGTCATTTCTTAGTGCACAGTCAGTTGCTGTGGCAGTAAGAGGAAAAATAGCAGATGGCACCAAGGTGGTAGCTCCATGAGGAGCACTAGATTCAACTAAATCCTTAAGTGTCTGCTCTGCTGCTTGGATAACTTTTTTTTTCTTATTTTTTTTGGACATACTTTAGCCATTGAATCTTTTGAAGTTTTATATATATATATATATATTTATATATATTTATATATAACTTACACATATACACACATGCCATTTTTGATTTTTGGTGCTCAGGGTAGTTCTGAGTCCAATAAACTTTGCTCTCCAAAGGTGGGGCATATAAACCTGAATAAATTTCACAAGGGAAATAAAATGAAAGAATGTGGTAAAAGTAACCATTTCTGCAGTATGTTCTATGCATTTATTGGCTGCAGAGGGGAGTCAGAGTACCCATATTCTATGCCAGGTCTGTCCAGTACGTAGCCTTGGGCAATATGTCACTGCCAGCTTGAGCTCGATAAAGTATTTCTGCAACCCAACCTGGAGTTCAAAAGTAGGAATTTACCAAGTTTGTGGCAGTCCACTTGTTACGTAGGTCTGCTTTATGCCATTGGTGTCATATTGGCCATGCGTGAAATTGTATTTTTATTAGAGAGCAGTTCTCCGAAAGATAGATTATATCCTTACTATAAAATAAGGAAAGATGGTATTAGTGCTATCTTTTCAACCTTGCTTTATGCCCAGACCTAGAACCAACAAATGTTAATGAATGTAATGTTATCAACTGTGTTAACTAGTCTAGAATGCTAGACTTTAGAAATTAACTTTTTAAATAGAATGCTGTTTTTACTTATATATTAACTTCAGGACAAATAGTCTTAATTTCTTTCCAGTAGAGATGAAGTGACAAATTCTGTTTTCAAAACCATTACAAACATACTGCTCAACAGAATATATTGTAACTTTTAAACTCTAAGAAGAACTGGTTGTGACTGAATCTTATCAGATTTTTTTTAACTGGAAGAATATAAAACACTTTTTAGTTTTACCGTAAGCATCTCCTAGACTATCCCTGGTTACTTTCTTTTAAATGTCTTTTGTATCCAGCTGTAATGATAGGTTTGGGGTAGCTGGGACTTCAGTTGCCTTCCCAACATGGACCAAATAGAATTTTGAGATTAGAAAACTCTCCAAGGCTGGAAAATGCTAGAGAACTGATACTTTTCAGGCCCTGTTTGGGACAATTCAGTGCATATGCCAGTAGCAAGGTCATTCTTTTCATTGTGTGACAAATCCCCATTTAAAGTCCTTTTAAGATGCTCCCCTTTGCTGAAAAAAAAAATCTGGTTAGCATGTGTTAATAAAGCATCATATCTCCTGTTTAATTTGGTAATGCTACTGAGACTGGGGTTTTAGCAAAAAGTTCGTTTCTGTTTAGAAAAGCTTAAATAAAGTTCTCTGGGCGTAATCTTAAAAGGAAAAAATGTTCCAAAAGTTTTAATTTTATTCATATTATTTGGGGTATCTTGCCTCCCGAAAGCACTTCTGTGCCTGTCTGTAAAAAGATTTAGGATAGGACTAGAATGTATGTTTGTATTTCCTTTCTGAATACTGTGAAGACATTTTGGCAAGAAGAATTGAACTTCTGGTGACAGTGTAGCCTCACTTGCATAGCCTGGCTATCTGACTAGAACGGGTAGGCAACCTTGGCTCTTTTGTGACTTGTGGACTTCAACTCTCTAGAATTCTGGGAGTTGAAGTCCACGAGTCATAAAAGAGCCAAGGTTGCCTACCCTGGACTAGAACAAGAGGCATCTCTTGGTTGTAATAAAGACTTGTTCTCCAATGAAGGAGACTGCTCACAGCTCTTTTGCACTAAAAGAGAAGTTCTGAGATAACACGAGTGGTAGCTTGTCTGGATTGTCTGCGTACTTCGTAGTTCACATCAGGTTCACTCAACTTCCAAATTGCCATAAAGTGCTCACTAACCAATTTGTACTTGTTTTGCTGACCTAAAACTAGAAGGAAAATACATTTTTATTCTTTCTATTGGGTGTATTGTCTTTTTTTCTTTGTAAATACAGCACAATAAACAGATTATCCAATAATCCACAGATACTTTGAATATGCTGTCTATGTTCACCTGAAGTATTTGTTGTAGAGCTCTTATCAGAAGTCCTGTGAAATATAAATGATTTACACACTCTAAGCATAAGCATAAAATGGCATGTAGAATAAGAGCAAACCTGTCACAAAGTTTAGGATTTTGTTTGAACCTAGTCAGTTTAAAAATTAAATACGAGCACTACTGATGAAATCCTATGGGTGCTAAATGTAGTTTTGTAAGTTATGGATAGGAGGAAGGAGAATTATTTCATTTCCAGCTCCTATAATGTTATTTGGCTTTTTTGCTCTTTATTTTTAGCCAAATTTCTCATCAGAGCAGTCCTTAGATCAGAGTGAGTTGGAGAGAAAAAAGCAGGGAAGTTAAATGCAACTACATTTAAGGAAAACCGTTCATTCCTGAGGCTAATTTTTTCCTTTTTTTTTTTTTAATGAAATGTGTGTGCCTGCACTTGCTTGAGCTCTTGCTAGGCTCCTCCGCATATGCTCTTTAGGAACCAGGAGAAGCAGCAGAACCTCAAATGAAGGCAAATGGAGGAAGTAAAACAATATCCTTCCATTTCCAGTGAATCGTGAGAGAAAGCCAGGATTCTGAACTCTAAAAGTATAAGTTAGGAGCTTCAGTGTTTTTAAAATTGCCAACACTAATGAATATGATGATAGAAAGTCACCTGGCGTAGTGGTATTGGTTTATTGGAGTGTCATATGTATGACTGTCAGTTGAGCATTAATTGAGTTTATATTTAGTGCAATGATCTTTTGATTCTTCCAACAAGTCTCCCTTGAAACCAAGTTAGCTGAGCTGAACATCCTTAGGAAGAAAGATGCAGATAAGATCTTCTGACATATACCATCTTATTTCTAGGTTAATGGATTTCTTGCTGTCAGTGAAATGGGAATGGGAAAGGACTTTTCAAGGATAAAGGGAGGTGTGCTCATAGGAAGAATTCAATCCTTGGATGATGAACTTGTGTTCTACTGAAGGGAGCAGCAGGCTTTGGGTTGTAGATGAATCAAGCGTTAGATGTGATAGATATAGTTCTTGTGGACATAGCATACTGTGCAGAGAAGCTGTTGGATAGTACCAAAAGCAGCAGTCCACATTAAAATTAATGATATTTCAGTAATCGGCCAATTCTGAAAACCAAATGTAGGCAACTAAATGCATATTAAGGTCCAGGGCTGCTTAAGCATCCTTAAAAACATCTGTTCCATGAATCAGCTAAAAGGACAGGTTGGCAGTTCCAGTGCATAGATAAAACAGTGGTGCCATGGGAATAATTTAGATTAGGCACTAATCTAAGACACTCTGAGTAAGTCAAACCTGCATAAGAGAGACTCCATTTGAACCAGAATAGAACCAGGCTGATTGACTATATAACATCAAGAAGATAGTAGAACAGTTCTCAAAACATTCCCAATTTCCTGGGAAAACTGACAAGTGCTCCCCATCATGATGTTTCAAAAAAATCCCATTAAGTGATAGACACATTGTTGAAGATGGGTTAATAGGAGAGAGAATAAGACAAAGGGTCGTGTAAGATGCACATCAGCAACATTTGAAAAAAGGCACAGTGTAAAGGTGTTTCTATGCAAAGGCATAGTAATCAGAGCCATTTAATTAAATCTCTGTTACAAATGATAACTTTGAAATGTAACAATCCAGAAGAATGGTGTCACAGGGATATGGTCATCCCTGAAACTGACCATTATAAAAAGATAAGAGCAGCATGCACTGGGATGGGGGTGGTCTCTATGTCACAGGGTTTGTGTGTGTGTGTGTGTGTGTGTGTGTATATACAAATATACTATTACCCCCTTGATTGAAGTGCAAACAGTAATCCTGAATAATATCTTGGTCCAAAAGCTCCAAGTTGTAACTCCTATATACAACCTAACTTTTTTTGGTTCATATTAACTGGACCAATGAATTAATGGGGACTGTACTCCATTGGTTTAAGGAAAGCAAAATCCCATGATTATGTCAATTCATGTATCTTAACAAGCCTGAAAAAAAAATACAATTCTGATGAGAAGGCTTGGGCAGTTGCCATATGTGCTACATAGACATTTTAACTTACACAGGACTCACAAGACCTAAAGGGTTACATTTTCCTGAAGTAGAGTTTGCAGGGCAGCATATGCCCGTTATAAGTAATATTAAACTGGCTGAATGGATGCAATATTTAATTCAGCAAAATGTTTTGAGGTCTATTATTAATTATCCATATATATTGGGCCCCACAGTTATAGAACAACGTACAAAACATTGCAAACAGGATGTGGAGATCAAAACCAATTAATGTCATGCTGAACAAAATTTACTTTGTCATAGTCGCCTTTTCTGGAAAAGCGCACTATTTTGCAGAATCGTTCTTCTATAATACAGACTGATGTGTCTAGATAGCTGGCAGAATCCACATTAGCATTCATGTGTGCCAAGTAGCTTATCTGAGTTCAAAGTCAAGTGGGGTGCTCAGTATTCAAGGGCAGAAGTAAGTACACTTGCGATTTCTTCAGTATTCATCTTCATTTATTTGCTTCCTCTGCAGGACAAAAGAACACTCCATGATAATTTAGAAAGTGTCATTTCCCCTCCCCATTTCTCCAAAAGCAGCTAATGGAATAATAACCCCTCTTTCATAGTCTAAGTCTGGGAGTTGAAGTCCATACATTTTAAAACAAACCACGTTTGGTCTAAATAGAAGCTGTGATGTCACATGCTACACATAGGATAGGATTTGCCATTAGCGCTTGATGAAGACCGTTGAATTTGTTGACCAAGCTTGACTATGGTTATAAACCCAGGGAAAAGAAGGGCTCTGCTTTGGAGTAACTTACTTCAACTGTATTACGGTAGCATGGCAATGACAATTAGTGACAACCAGGTCAAGTTAATATTTATATGTGTCACTAAAAAAGGGGGGTAAGTAGCATCTCTCAGCTTGAGGGCTTTACCAAGTTTTTTATAGCATCCTGAAAGCCATTCTCTGAAAATTGTAGAGTTTTTATTTTTAGTTTGTTCATTATTTTGTTTTGAAGTTTTGGTAATGACATCCCCAATAACCTTTTCCTTCTTCAACAGAGGGCACTGTGAAACCATTTTTTCCATGTTTTCTGACATTGAGAGAGAGAAAAAACACTGCAGCCTTTTTTTGTTAACAAGCAGAAAAGACACATTGATTGAACAGACAGGTTAAATCAGGGGTCTTCAAACTTGGCCCTTTTATGACTTGTGGACTTCAACTCCCAGAATTCCTCAGCCAGGCATGCTGGCTGAGGAATTCTGGGAATGGAAGTCCACAAGTCATAAAAGGGCCAAGTTTGAAGACCCCTGGTTTAAAGGAACATTTGGAAAACAGGTGAAAAGGCAGAAGTTTTAATCACCCATTTTGTTGCTTGAAACTTCTCCAAATGGGAAGATTGGCCTGACATTTGGGAAAACATAAATGATGCTAGTCCTCTATATAAAATGCAGAAATAATGTCCAAATTGTAGGCTTTTTCATTCTAGAATCCCAAGCCCCCTGAGCTGCACTAAAGGCCAGTGGAATAGTTTCATTTTTATCAAATGGGATTTTGCATTTTACAGATGTCTAAAACTTAAAACAGTGATGGGACACAAAGTAACAGTCTCATGTGTATCGTGCTATTTTAATTATTAGCTATAGAAAGGGAATAATTTAGTTTATACAGTAGCTACAAATACAGAAGCATGCCCGAGGTTTTTGTTTTAAACTTCAGAAGTCTTAAGGGCTTCCAAACAAAAACTTTGCAGAAGCTTTTGCCCTGCATGTTTTTTCCAATGATTTATAATGCATTCATGATTCTGCTCTGCTCCTTACCTGCCCAATCTCTCACTTGCAGTGAATTAGAATATTCTATTAAATGTATTATTAATCCCTGTACCAGCAGAGTCAATTATGCAATCACCGAACTCAGCCATTGCCAGGCACTAATACAGGGGCACATTATGGATTTTTACAGGAATAAACTGCATATAGCCAAAAAAAATTTGCCAATAGACATCTTGTAGCTTGCATGTATTGCCTTTTGTTGAAGCATGGAAGAAAAATAGGATACCATGAGAACAATTTAAATTAACTAAAAAAGAAAGGTTTTGACAATTCTAATGTGGCATGAGTGCTAATATTAATAATCTACGCACAAGACAAGCTTATGGACTTTTTATCCTTATAAATTTTATGGAACTAAATGTCCAAATCCTCATCATCTATAGTTCTTCTGTCCTTGCTGTTTTGACTATGGGAGGGGTAGGTTCCTCTGGGAAAAAAATTGGCTTACCTTTGTTTTCCACTTGAAAATCAGAGGGTAGAAGATTGTCTTGCCGGTTGCCAAGCACAAATGCTAAAAAAGAAAGGATGAAGGCATCAAGAATGCCGATGATGCAAAGGATATATGCCCAGCGCACAGTGCAGACTCCCAGGGTGTATTTGTCAGTCTTCTCTCCACACATGCGTTTCACCTCAGGGGAGTCCCAGCCATCAGGGTAGAGCAGGCAGCCAATGGACAAGCCCGCACCTGGAATGGAACGTGATGATATTGAAAGACACAGTTGCAACCTCAATATGGTATCTCCTCTCGTGGGTTTTTCATATAAAGTTTTCTGTTCAAGCTCCTGATTATGCAAGCTGGGCAAGCTATATAAATCTAATAAACAAACAAACAAATAAATAGGGACAGATGCAAAAGGAGGTTCAAGTGCAACTGATGGCATGACAGTACACTGTAAAGTACTTTCATTATCTTTTACCACCTTTGACAAATGGATAGTCCCGTTTTCTATTCTCTCTCTTTCGAAACTGACCAGAAAGCATGATACAATATTGTTTCTCATCTTGCTGTCTTTGCTAAAACCACAATTTCAGCCAAGCTTACTGAAAGCTTGAAGTAATGCAAATACAGGCTTAATTTGGGAACTAAAGAAAAGCTGTAGTCCTGGAAACTAGTGTTAGCGTCAGACCTTTTCTTCCCCGATTGAATAACAGGTCAGCCCCTTATCCAGAGCATAGAAGATATGTGACTACTTTTTGGAAATAAAATACTTATGATTAATACTTTATAAGCTATTTTTCTTAGATGAGTATAGTAAGAGAGATCTGTAACCTGTCCGAAACACTCATATTATTAGAGTTTAACATGAAAAGTAAAAAGAGGAACACATAATTTCTGTTCTTGGAAAAAGTGGACAAGCACAGGGCATTGAGAATTGCTTTTCTTACCATTTAGTTTATGATCACGTGATATTCTTGCAAGAGATCAAGAACTATGAAACTATTTTTACTTCTATTTTCCAGAGAAGTACAGTATTACCGTAGTTGACCCTTTCCTTTAGTTCCTTTAGTTAGGCTAGTTATTTGCTATGTCACATTTGCTACATTCAACAAGAAAAGATTTTAAAACATCTACTCATTCCCTTTCTTTGCATCCTGAGTTTTAATCTGTGGCATACAGGCAGTCCTCCTTTAACAACTGCCCTGCTTAGCAACTGTTTCAAGTTACAACAGTGTAGAAAAAATAACTTTAGGATGAGTCCTCATACTTACAATAGTAGCAGCATCCTGGGTTATGTGATTGCCATTTGCACACTTCACAGCCAGCTTCTGACAAGCAGAGTCAATGCAGAAGTGGACAATTAAACTTGCAAGTTGCAGTCACATGATGGCTTGCTTAACAAATACATTGTTTAGTGACAGAATCACCTGTTGTGGTCCTTAAGTGAGGACTTATTTGTATTTTAAGATGTAAATTTAAACAGCCAGGAATGTATATGAAAACATGTTGAGGTTTCCAAGGTACTGGATTCTATAGTCAGTATAACACATTATTATTGTTGTTATTGTGAAGAAGGTAAATTTTCAGATGAATGAGAGTGTGTTTCTTGAATAGACACGTCAGTAGTTGCCATAGCAATTTATTGATTTATTATTTTAAGAAAAGCTTTTATACTCCTGTCACTTAGGATCTTTACAGTCCTTCAGCACTGTGCTCTTCATCCAATGTGGGTTAATCAGAAGCCTTTTCAAGCCTCTTAAGTTATTTATGTTTGAGGCCAGCAGGAATTACAGCTTTCTTTAATGCCATGCCTGTCCTTACAGCTTATTCGAAATGCTGTTGCTAAACCTGTTGCCGTGCTGCCAGACTTACTTTAACCTCTCTTTCACTCAATGCATTTCTATTTGCTGAAGAAGATAATGTAACCAGGCTTTGTTCACTGGCATGAATATTTGAAAAAGGTTTCAAATATCATTACTGGCTTCACCATCTTCTTACTTTAAGATTGCTTTCTGCAGGTCTATTTCAGTATGGAAAAACTGCAGAGAATTTTGCTCATCTCTGGCATCCCCATTACAGGCAGGGCTTAATTAGCTTACACATATTAAGCAGGATATTCTAGGCGGAATGGAAAGTCATTACCTAATCCTGGCCCTAATTTGAATTTGTGGTAATTTTTAGAAGATGGAAAGCCAAAGTGCATTTCACCAAGCAAAGGATGCTCATGTTTTACATAACATTAAATAATGCAGCTCATTTATTTCTCTCAGAATGAGGTGGAAGAAGCAATTAAATTTAAAAAAAACTTTGCCACTAATAAAAAAAGCCCTTATAAATCAACAGACAGAAGGCAGGATTTATTTCATTTTGAATTTCTGTCTACATACTATTTCCCAAACAGCATCATTTAATTTTGGCTCTATGACCTTGTGTGTGTGCTGTGTGTGTTATGACTTGCAATGCTTGCTAGGCTCAGGTTTCCTTAAATATTATTTTCTTTCTATACCATTGCTAACAAATACAGGAATGCTATACATAGTTTTATATGTAAAGCCTTCCAATTAAAACTGTTTGGATCTTAAGTCCAAGTATTTTTGGTGAAGCTATTGTAATTAGGGCTATGTTTGAATCCAACCCACTATTTATTTTGAATTACTAAAACCTATACCCTTTTACTATTAAATATTGCAGTAGTATACCTTACCCTCATCATAATCTTCCTATGGCAACACTAGCACAAAATTATAGGAAGTGTAGTTTAACATATCTGGAAGGTGTCAGTTGATGGTGACTATTACATTGCCAGTTTTCTGTTATGAATCAAAATTTCTCCCTGTTTTACTTCTTAGGCTGCAACTATCTTGGTGATTTTCTGACTTTTCTCATTCATAAAAGGAAATACAAAGAGAAGCTCATTTTCCATTTGATCTCAGAAATTGCTAGCTGCTGATATCCTATATAAAGCATCTCCTTTTCATCAAAATAAGCAGCTTTCTTAAAACACATATCTCCTCTCTAGGCAATGCTAACTGCTAAATCTGCCTGTCAAAAGCATTGAAGATGGAGCCTTGATCATATCCTATGTTCTCCTTGCCCATTCCTGGTTTGTTTCAATGAGGTTTTAAATTAACACACCTTCTATATAGTCACTTCATGATTGCATCCTACAGTTTCACCAGAGACAGTGGGTGTGGCAGCCACAAAGAAAGCAGATTAAAAGGAAAAAAACATTAAAACATAACTTCATTTTTTAAAAAATCAAACAATCAGAAAAATTGCTGTTCTTCAAATAGATTATACAATTAACTATAATTGCATATCACTTAACAGACTACAATGTATTTAAAGAACAGGTCATCTCACTAAAATAAACACATTGCTAGCTGACATGAGAACTAAAGAAATTGAATATTTTGGTTTCAGTGACAGCACGTTCAGGAAGAAGCTGCCAATGGAACTTGAATCCAAATGACAGATGTATATCCACATGCTGAAAAGCATTGCATCATCAAGGAGCTAATATTTACTTTGCAGTACCACAAATCCATTTTGCTTTCTCATTATTAGGAATGATGCCAATAGAACTTCAGTCCAAATGGCAAATTTATATATTCACTTTAAAGAGTTGCCCCTTGCACTGCAAATCTGGGAGATAGAGCAAAGAGGTTCTGGTATTCCTAAGCATAATATACTTGAGCAGGAATCCCATAGCACACGGAAGGTATGTTTAACGGATGTCTTACTCTACCCCCCGGGTTCTCTATGTCCAACTCACATGCTGCCAGTTGCATCCAAGCACACACTTTGTAGACAGTGGCTGCATTGCAGAAGAAGAAGAGGCTGAAGCAGAGGATGCAGCCAATTATAAGGAAGGTAGAAATGCCCACAAAAAACATGGCTGTTTTGAAAGCACTTGAAGGGATGGTGCCAAAGTCCAGAGGGCTGCCCTTGCAGATGAGTTCACCAGTCAGGGCATTTCCAATGCAATAGGAATAGAGGCCAAAATAACCAGCTTGTGGAGTATCAATGCTGTCTCCAATCCAATAGGGCTGGATGAAAGTTACCACCATGATCACAGCAAAGCAGAGGGTGAACAGTGCCCACAAAACTCCCATGGCTCGAGCATTCCTCACGTAGTTGGTATGATAGATCTTTGCCGCTTCCTGTGCTGGAAGCATCTTTGCCATGGCTTCACAGAGAGATGGCTATGTCTTGTAAGACATGCCTTGAAGTTCAGGATCAAACAGAAAACAATTGCCTTCTCACTCCAGGAACTTTAATGAGGAGCAGCACATAGGAAAGCTGAATCCAAGGAAGAGGGGCTGCAAGGTTGGCTTTCCACCTCCCTGATAGATCAAGATTCTGTGAAGCACCTCTTCCCTTTCCCGTGACTCTTTGCCCCAGCTCCAGATGCTCAGATGACCATTTGCAAGAAAGGCTATTTGTTTCAATGCTGAACAGCTCGGTGGGAGGTGCTGGAGCCTGAAGAGTGCTTGCTTAGCCTTAGTTGCTGCTGCTGCTGCTGCTGCTGCTGTTCTTCCTCTCCCAACATCCTACATATCTGGTGTTTTCCAAGAAGTTGGCATTCCCGCCCTGTAGACACTACAGTGTGTAGAGGGAATATCCCTCCTGCTTCCAAGCAGCGGAGAGGAAGCAGCTTATTTGTGGGCTCTGTTTCAGCACCACAGACAGCGATTGGCAGAGAAAGCCAGGAAGCCCAAGACTGATGTACCGACCAGGAAACACTGTTTCCGATTAATTGGGGACACACATCAGAGGGCAATCACAGACATCCTTGACTAGGATAGATGGAGATTAATCCACCGTCCCCATTTCAAATTAAGTATTAACAATTATATTTTGGAAAATAGTATGTTCCTGGATAGGACATATAAATCTTGTTCAATATAGAGTTAACATAAAAGCACATTGTGTTCATCCTACAAAAGAGAGCAAGATGCCAATTTGTACAACATCAAGGATGTGCTGGTTGTTCCAGGTATTGGCTTTAAGGCTGGATTGATAAATCATACTAAGCTATTATGTGATTTGTATAGTTTTGACCATAAACATCTCTAAACAGTACAGTTAGTTCACTAAATATTATGCAACCTTGTTAATAGTGTCTAACAAATAGTAGGCATGTAAATCATGGTTAGTGTAATGTATGAACATTCACAAAGTTAACATTTCTATATTCCTATATTAACTCTGTATTATTCTTTCTTAATCAGATCCCCTCTAGATCTATGCTCCCAAAATATGTATATATAAGCAAAAACCTAAAAAACTATTGAAAAGTATTTAAAAAATCCTTAAAAATTAATATATGCCTATCTAAATCTATCATAATACAAAACACTCTCAAATTAAATGCTCATTAAAATTGGTTTGAAGCACAGTTGATCATCTGATGGATTTTAATTGCTTCAGCACAGAGCCTAGGAACATTGTATATTGTAGCAGGATTAGTGTCTGAAAGGAGTAGAGAGATATAAAATTGTCCTGTGTGCACTGGGTATTTATACAGTATTGTTGAGATGAGGCTAGACAAATGTTTCTGCACTATGGATACTGGAGGAGCACATGCCCTATTACAGGGGTCCCCAACCTCTGGGACATGGACTAGTATTGGCCCATGGTCTGTTGGGAAGCAATGGGTGAGTGAGCAAAGTTTTATTTGCGCATGCATGAGAACTAGGTTGCTTGTGAAACCATTCCCCCACCTACCCCGCCCGTGAAAAAATAGTCTTCCACAAAACTGGTCCCTGGTTCCAGAAAGGTTGGGGATCACTGCCCTATTGTTTCAGTATGTCCAGAGTCACAGGACCATTGCCTCTTTGGGCAGGGAATTTTTCTGTATCAACTTTCAAGGACAGCTAAGAAGAGAGCATTGCACCATGCCAGAATGAAGGCTCTCCAGTGGCTACCTACTTACCAACTTACTTTGAGTTTGGTTAAGTAAATTATGAAAGAAGCAGAGTACCTGTTGGATTCACTGGCAGTAAAGTTTGGAGATGTCTCTAAGTCCAATTAGCACTCAGTGTCTGCTATATGCTGCTTAATAAGAGCTTTAGCCTGGTCATATCCAATGCTGAGTAGAAAACCTGGAGAAGAGTCACTGCCTTTTTTATATGTGGACTGAAAATCTTTCCCAGAGCAAGGCCAAGGGGAAAAAGAAATAGTTCGAGCCAATATCTGAGCATGGTCATCCACACTCTGGCTTCCATACTCTGGCCTCCATTTTCCACTTATCTTCTTACTCCTGGAACTTTAATGAGAAGCAGCATATGAGGAAGCTTTGAGCACTAGCTGGTCTTCCCTGCAGTATTGTGCTGACCCTTCTGTTCCATCAAGTTTGCCCATCAGAAGGAGCAGTGCATCATGGGTGGCAAAATGCAGACCACCTATAAGCAGAGATCCCAATTCTTTAGCGGCAAACAGACACACATAATTGTCGACATGACCAAAACATGAACCTACTACTTGGAACTCCCCAAGTATAATGTTGATGTTTACTTTTGTTTGGTCCCTGATTCTTCTCAGTTGGAATAGAATTAGGGAGCCAGTTCCTTGGCTATTTAATTTGTACAAATGTGATTGGTATTTTCTAAGATGGCCTCTTGTTGCTGCAGCACATCTGGCCATTTCTGAGGATTTCTGAGAAGCCAGGTGTTCCAGGCCATCATGGCTGGAAGACCATTGAAAGGGAAGATACAGAACTTTAAAAGTACAGCCACCTCAACTTGATATTCATCAAATGTATTGGAACAATTGGCTAAAAAATGGAAAATACGAGATAAGCAAATAAAAGCATGAGGAATATTCAGACAGGCTTGGAAAAATCTTCTGCCATAAACTCTGGCTAAGCTGATGAGTTGGCATGACTTCCTCATGGTCCTAAATGGTGAAAAACAATTATCATCTGTTGTCAGTGTAAAATTGTTTAGGCTGTTGCATTGTAAAGAATCTTCTTGAAAACAAATGTGTGCCTATTTATGATATAACATGGCTTATATATTTATTATTCCTAATTACATGAGAATATTTAAACGAATATGCAGGAATCATATCAGTCTATTCGTATTTTCTCAAATCCTTGCAGAGAAATGTCACGCTCATTGTTAAACTAAAACCAGCATCGACCTTACCAGAGTGTTTGTTTTTTCTCTGTAAATACTACTTATTTCTTGACATGGCTCCCATAGTTCTCAGTCAGGATCAGGTTAGTATAGGCAGTGTTACATGTCTAGATTGAGAATAATAATTCTGCTAGGCATTATCAACATGCATCTTACTGGCTGATTAGTCCAGGATTACATAACAAATATTTGGATGCTGAGAAAGTTCCAGTAGGCCACATCTGTTGTTGGTTCCAGGTAGCTTCTTGTTTCAGGCAACCTGGCATGCAACTTTGAGAAATAAGGTGTCTTTTACACATGTTATTATAGCAAGATTTTTCCACTAGACTCTGCTGAACTTCCTGTATCAGTTTTGTCTGATAGAGTCCCTAATAATAGACTGGAAAAATTCTTATCACTCACTGCCAGCTTGGCTACGCTGCCAAGCTATACAGGTGTTCAATTGGTCCAGATGGCTCTAGACTAGAAAAGGTTATGCTGTATAAAAGTATTCTAACATAAATGATGGAGGGTGGGGGAATTCTAGGATTCTCTGTTCCCTTTTTAAATAAGCCCAACTAGAAAGGTATTAATTCAACAAAGGTAATAATAATAATAATAATAATAATAATAATAATAATAATAATAATAATAATAATGTGTGATGATCGATAATAATAATAATAAAAATGTTGGAAGGGACCTTGGAGGTCATCGAGTCCAACCCCCTGCTCAGGCAGGAAACCCTACACCATTTCGGACAAATGGCTGTCCAGTCTCTTCTTAAAAACTTCCAGTGTTGGCGCATTCACCGCTTCTGGAGGCAGGTTGTTCCACTGGTTAATTGTTCTAACTGTCAGGAAGTTTCTCCTTAGTTCTAGGTTGCTTCTCTCCTTGATTAGTTTCCATCCGTTGCTTCTTGTCCTGCCTTCAGGTGCTTTGGAGAATAGCTTGACTCCCTCTTCTTTGTGGCAGCCCCTGAGATATTGGAACACTGCTATCACTTCCCCCCTCGTCCTTCTCTTCATTAAATTAGACATACCCAATTCCAGCAACCGTTCCTTATATGTTTTAGCCTCCAGTCCCCTAATCATCTTTGTTGCTCTTCTCTGTACTTTTAAGGATCAAAATATTATTAATGAACTGACCTAGACCAGGGCTTTTCAACCTTTTCACCCATTGTACTACTTTTAGGATATGACAATATCCGAGTACCACCAGTCGCCTAGCAAGGTGTCAAAAACTTGATGACCCCCCCCAAAAAAGGAAAAAAGTGATAAAGTGCAGGTAGTCCTCGATTTACAACAGTTCGCTTAATGACTGTTTGAAGTTACAATGGCACTGAAAAAAGTGCCCCCCAAGCCACAGCTGAGCAAGACACCTGCCTGCCCACCCAGTGGCGCTCTTCCTCCTGTTCGAGGTTTCATTGTTGTGAGCATTTCTGTTGGACATTGGCAGCGGAGGTGGGGTGGGGGTGTTTGGTTTTTATTCCACCCATCTGCTGGGTGGTTGCAGCAGGTTTTGGTCACTTCACATGACCCTGGGACACTTTGACCGTCATAAATATGAATCAGTTGCCAAGGATCTGAATGTAAATCACAAGACCCTGGAGATGCTGCAACATTCCAGCTGATCGGCGCTTCTTCTGGGCTCAGCAGAAGTGCCAGGATAAGCGCCAAGCTCCAGCTGGAGCCTGGTGCTGATCCTGGTGCTTCCACTGAGCCCTGACAATCCCGAAGAAGCGCCGATCAGCTGGAAAGCAGCACTGATCCTGGTGCTTCCACTGAGCCCTGACAGCCCTGCAGCTCCAGCCATCTCTCACTCAGGCTTGTGCGGTGCTGCCACCAGTTCAGCTCATTCCTCTCCCCCGCTACCACTTTTCTAGGATGGTCGCATACCACCTGCCAGGTACCAATATACCACAGGTGGTACCCGTACCACTGGTTGAAAAGCCCTGACCTAGACCACACATCACACTAAATCAACAAGGCAAAAGCTGTAACATTACACTAAGCCAGAAACCATGATTTTTCACTACAGTGTCTGGGTTCACAAACACATTCAGCCAAATCCTAACAAAGGATTGAGCAAAGTTTTTCCAAGTTTCACAGAAAACTAACATACTGGGCAGAGATGGAAAATTCAAGAAGGACACAAATTACATATCATATATCATGGTTTGCTGAACATATCACACTTGTTAGATTAACATGTAATACTAAACTTTGAATCCTAATAACTGGCTGACCTCATAGAATATTCCAACTAAACCCAAACAGGTCACAAAAAGGGCTTCCGGAATGTATGAACCTATTGGTGTAATGACCGCCTTGCTGATATTGAGGGTCCTGATCTCTGCAGATTTCAAATCAAAAAGGACTTATTCTTAACTTAGTATTCCAAGCTTTGGAGACTGCAACTCTTATATTTTGCTTGTTTCTTTACTGTTTAGTCTGCTGTTTCTTTCCAATTCAAGTTTGCTATCACTATCATATATTTTCCTGAGATGCATTCATTGGAAGGAAGGATTCATGTGACTTTGACAACATGCTTTATAAACTGCAACTTCCAGGTAGCTCTGGACTCTCATCCCAAGAGCCTTTGATTAATTCATTGGCTGCCCAGAATCAATGGATAGACTTTGGATTTTGTTATTGCTGACACTTGCCTTGGCAGAGTCTTCTGTTCATCCAAGAGGACTGTTTCTTAACTTAGTAAGTGAATGTGAGGTATCCTTGTTTTAATCCTCCCAGAATTATCTTCTTTTAGGTTTGAAGATGTATACAGCTAGGAATAATTTGCTCTTGTCCTATTCTTTTATTTTAAAAACCTGCAGCATTATTATTCAAGTGATAATTGAATAATATGCTGCAAATAATCACACATGCAATCAATCTAGGGTACTATGTAAATCAGAATATAATCAGAGATCAATATCAACACACGACATACCATCAAAATTCCTATGAAGTGATTATATAGCTGGTATAGGCCAATATAACCTGATTATTACTCTGTGTGAAAGAATATTTTTACAGAGAATGTAGTGATGAATCTAAACAGTTAAAGCATTTCACAAAAGGACACACATAGAAAAATGAATGTACAAATTGCTGAATTAACCATCTTGTTTCACACATGTGATCTATGTTTTCCTCTAGGACAATGGGGAGCTATGTCTTCACAGTGTACAGTGCAAAAGCCGCTGCTGTCACCGAAAAACCGGATTAAGTCTTGCTCGCTGTGCAGACAAGGCAGCTGAAAACCAAGAATGTTCCCTAAAGGTGAGTGTCACTTTTTAAAAAAAAATTAGATGTCCATCGTGAAAAGATCGGAGAGATATATTCTGTTCAGCATGACAGCAATTAAGTGTTCAGCTAGCAGCATAGAGGACAACTTTAAAGCAACAGTGATATGCCATTCTTGCGTAAAACAAACACTGTGAAATAAAATCATATATTAAGCCATTGGTATCATTATGGTAGGGAAATGAATAGTTTAAAAGTGAAAAACATTTGCATGGAGAAACATATGTTAGGGGATTCATAGCTTTTTTTTAAGGGTTTATCGATTTTCTAGTTTTACATTTAAGTATTTAAAAAGCAACGTGGCAGCTGGATTAATCAATAATTCAATAACATACAAGTGTCTTTAGTACAAATCTTAAACTACCACATTAAATATTTCTTCTCTTTTTCCCTTAGTATTCACTATCTCATGTTTAAGCTAATACAATTCTTATTACATCAATTAAGTAAAAATAACATTGTTACTTTATCAATAGTTTTTAGCTTATACATATCCTAATTGCTTTTACATTCAATCTTTATAGACAATCAATATCCTATTTATTTGTTTTCCCCAATTTTTAATTTCCCATCAATATTCAAATTTAACTTTTAATATTTATACTTCCAAGTTTTAAATGAACAAAGTTTTCTTTATCTCAGTTCATAGCATAATCTAGTATTCAAAGTGCACATCTTGTCTGTTTGAGTATATTCTATTTTAATTAATAACATAACATCCTCACTAATAAATCCAAACCCCAATTTTCTTCAGCCTTATTCTAGCTTTCTTTCTTTGCCTTCCATGTGTATGCTTTTAAATCATCAAATAGATCTCCCTCTGTTATTGTATATATTATTTGAAATAAAAGAGACCATCCAATCGCCATTATTTTGGAAGGATTGACAAATTGTCTCGCTATTATTCCATCTCCCCATAGTTGTCCTGGAATGTTTATCTTCCCTTCGGTCTGTTCTTCTTGCTCCTCAGATTTCTTCTGGTTTATATAGAAAGTCTTTTCCATTTTCAATGTTATCAGTCCCTTTTGTGGATTTTCCATTAACTGTGTTTGTTGGTCCATTCAATCCTCTATCATAGTGTTTGTTTGTTCCACTTCTTCTATTGTGTTCTGTGTAGTTGATTCTTTAATTGTAGTCAAAGGGTTTGAATATCTAGGCTGACATCTTGTTCTTTTCTATAGTGTCTTTTTTTCGTCAGAAGCTGTAAGAATAGTTTCATGAATTGCTTTCGACATAGAAAGAATGTGTTCCTGATCTTCATCCATATTCTCTTAGTAGTGTATTAAATTAGAAGCTTTACAATCAGGGAATGAAAATAATTTTATCACTGGGTATAGAACACAGCTGAGCTTCTCACAGCTGATATCTGCCAAGGTTGAAGGAGTCTTATCTGGGCTTCAAGCCAAGTCTCTTTTAGACAATAACAGGCTGTAGTATCAGATTTAGCCACAAGATGTCATCAATGCCATTTAAGATTTTTTAAGTCCAAACTTTTTATATATTTTTTTTCAGTTTTACTTCTTTTTTGTAGGTAAAAACCCAAATCTTGATTAGGGATAAGAAATCTTTTGGTCCCCAAATTTTAGAAACATATAAATCCAGTTAAAATAAGGTTATTCTTTCAATGTTTTAAATTCCCCTGGATAGTCAGTCGCCGTTGCTCTTAGAGCAGTGGTTCTCAACCTGTGGGTCGGGACCCCATTTGGGGTCGAACGACCATTTCACGGGGGTCGCCAAACAATGCAGTCCGCCATTTTTTCCCCCTTTTCCTTAGCTGTGCTACTCCCTTTTATTCTATTGGCTTTTGAAAGCCAATAGAATAGACTCTCTTGAATAGAGTCTAATTCTATTGGCTTTCAAAAGCCAATAGGAATTGTCCAGGCTGTCTCTGCCCTGCTGAGCCTGCCAAAAGTTCCATTCTGCAAACGGTGCTGCACCAGTTGAGTAGTCCTCGACTTAGGACCGGTTGAGTAGTCCTCGACTTACGACCGGTTGGGGGTCGCGGCATTAAAAAGGTTGAGAACCACTGTCTTAGAGGGTGGGATACGATTTCCCTTCCCTCTCTCCACAGGGGGGAAAATACTTTGGGCAGCTTATACAGGTAGAAAAGATAGGTAGGATTGAAGAGAGGTTCAGATCTCACCCAGACTCATTCGTGCTGCTTTAGAAATGCCTGGAGCTACTGCCCTCCCAGGATCAAGTGGGGATCCCCTCCTTACTTGTCGCCCCTACAGGGTGACTTTTGACCCTTTCCAGAGTCCCCCAGTGGTGCATAATTGAACGCGGAAGATGGAGCTTGCCTTAAAGCGGCCACGGAAGTCCAGGGGATTCATAGCTTAATGTTGGTCTATATCCCAGGCTAATATCTTTGCTTTCTGCACCTTGGGAAAAGTGTCCATGACTAGGGAGAGGCTGATATGAATAATAGAAAAACTTATATTCATTGCCTCAATGGGTCCTGTAAGCCTGGAGATAATGATTGTCTATATCTTTCTGTTTCTTGCAGAGTCTATATGACGTTTACTACAAGTGCCCTTGTGAGAGGGGCTTAATCTGTGATACTGATCGGACCATTGTGGGAAGTGTTGTCAATTCTGACTTTGGCATTTGCAAGGACCCATCAAATAAAATCAGCAGTGAAAAAGAAGAAAGAAAGAAGTATGATGGATAAATTTACCCTGGCTCCTTTAAGTAGCCACATAGCTATTATTACTTTCATTGCAAAACAAATTCCTATGCTTTTACATGCTGCTCCAATAAGCATGCCTTTTGTTTATCTAGATTTTAGTTAAGGATGTTTTTTTTTTTTTTTGCATATTTGGTATTGTATAGCAAGAAGTAATATCCGGAACTTGGAACCAAATACGGGATGGAGGAGCCAGTGAATGGAGGAAAAATCATTAGGTAAAAATGCCATGGCTATAGCCTAGACTGGGAAGCTGAAACAATATCCTGACAAAGTATCTGAATCGACAGGTGTGAAGATACATCTTCAAAACCTGTTACTGCTAAACATGTTCATTCTCTTTTAATGATGAATATCTTGCCCCTCAGTACTACATTTCTAGAATGAATAAGATTAAGATGGGAATTTATCTTTCACAAAATCGGAGTGTGGGAGATAGAAGTAGTTTTCAAACTCACATGAAATTGCAGATCAGGAAGTGAACAAAAAATAGACAACAACAGCAACCAACGAGTAGAGAAAGAAGACATATGATAATTAGGAAATGATTTTTTTTTAATTATTAAGGCAGTGATTCCCACTCTGTTCTGATAGTCTAGCAATGTAGTGAGTTCTCATAACTAACCTTCTCTCTAAGGGGCTTCCAAATTTTTCACAAGAGCAATTAAAGTGAGCTAGAATGAGGGATAACAAGTGATTGGGTCAAAAATACACCAAAAACATCATGACTGGAATGTTCAGGTCCAAGTCACAGTTCAAAAGTATCAGTAAAAGCTCTTCCAACCAAGCTGGCCTCCTGTCATTTGATGGACAGCTCTATATAGGTTTCTTTGTAGCAACATGAATAGGGTTCCTATTGCCTTCTTTGGGATATTTTGTTCAACTTCCCAGTCTAATTGGCAGTCTTAGTATGACCTACAAGAGTAGCAACTGTGTTTAGCTTCCAAGACCAGACAAGATCTCCAAAGCACTGCCATTTCAAACATGCAGGACTTAATTAAATGATGTTACATTTATCACAAACCAGTATTTGCTGTCCGTCCTATCTGCCTGCCTCTCTCCCTATATAACTACTGCAATATGTCCTAGTTTGAATCATTTGAAAGCTGCCATTCTTTTGGAAATGACTTTTGGATGAGAGTTAATAAAAATATACAATCGAATGTCTTGCCATTCTTCATGATTTGTCTCTCACACACACCACTAACACATTGTACTATTTCTGTCAACCATTTCATTTTAAATTACCTGCTGCTCTGGGTAATGTTTAATTGTGATGACATAAAAGCCCAAATGAAAAAACCTAGAGGTCATTATGAACTGCTTAATTTTGGCTTTTACATCATCCCGGTTAATCATGAAAGAGAACAGTGATGCTTAGAAGTAACTTAATTAAAAAAGGGTTATAAGAGTAATATAGAGATAAACAATAGCTAGGCTGAAATACCACACTAAATCGTAGTTTGTCAAATAAGCTAACCAAATGACTTGGTTAACACATAAAGCAAAGATTTAAATAATATTTTCTGAACCACATTAAGCAAACAGTCAAGCAAGTAACTTAAGAGGCAGCCCAGTCAGAAGGAGAGTGTCAAGAGAAATGGATGAAGACAGGAGTGTGCAGCAGTTGTGGATTTGACTTCAAAAAAATGAACTGAAGCATCCCGTATGATGCATGAATGTATCACCTGCCTGTGGCATCTTAAAATATATGTGCTTTTCCCTGCAACCTAAAGGTACACAGCACTTCTTTTGGAAGGGTCATGAGGGCATTTGTGAAATAGTTATTCAGAAGGACACAAAGATCCACTCCAAATCAGAAGACAAGCAAGCCTACAAATTCCTTCACTCAGAAACCAAACAGTAGTATCAGTAGAGATAGAACAGGTTCAAACCTTACTAGGCCTTATTCTGTTCTGGAGAATTCTGAGCTGGAGTAGATGCAAGGCCTCCCAGTTTGGGGAATGTTGGTAGCAGCTGATGACATCCCATAGTGAATCAGAGCCATGGTGGCATAGTGCTTGGAATGCAGTACTGCAGGCTGACTCACTGCTCACTCCAAGAGTTTGATTGTGACCAGCTCAAGGTTGACTCAGCCTTCCATCCTTCCAAGGTTGGTAAAGTGATCACATCAGCAGAATGGAATCATCATACATATAACATCATCACATGACACAAGTATGTAAGTCACAGCATTTGCATGATTATACCAAATGGCAGCCTCATCATATGTCCACATTATCTCTCCTGTAGACATCCATGGGAGTAATGGGAAAAAAAGGCGAAAGAATGGCTGCTCGTAGGGAAGGGCATTCAAGGAAGGCTGAAGCTTTGGAAGGCTGAAAGCAGACATCAGGGAAAATCAGTTTCAACTGTCACTGGCCAAAGAATAAAGGAACCCTGGTTGTCAAAGTCCACTCAGATGGAAGATCATTCACAGAAGTAATGTGTTGGTTTTTGTTTTTTTTTTTATTCCTGAGAACACTTACAGCTGGAACCAATTATCTTTGGGAATGTGACTTGTGGAATTTTTATCTTTTGGATTGACTCAGACACAAGTACTACCTGACTCCTTGCATTCCTGGTGAAAACATACAGTTTTACAAACAGGTTCAGCAGGAACTGAATTTCTAGATTTATTGTGGTTTTGTTTGCTTTCTGCTGGAATTTAATCAGGCTGTGAAAATACATAGAGGGAAGACCTGGGAAAGTTTTGGAGTGAAATCACTGAAAGGTTGTTTCCAATGCTCCGATACATAATAGAGAAGTTATGGTTAATATTTGTGGTGGAATCTCCAGTTAGACTGGAGGGAAGTGTTAAGAAAGGTGCAAGTTTAGAGTTTTTGCATTGCAGAAAGTGGCCCAGGCCTGACCTATCCCCAGAATCCTCAATGTCTTGTCTGCCTGTTCCCAAGGAAATGCAGTCAGTCTGGTGAGTTTCTTTAAAATAGGTGACTAATATTCAAGTTTCTGTTTAAGACTATTTATGAGTGGTTTAGGTTGCTTGCACCTGTCAGTATTCACCTCTCAGTGACAGAAAAGGGACTGCTTTTTAAAAAAAAAAACTCTTCAGACAAGGGCTCTTCTGATTTGGGAGAGGCAAGAATATCTGTCTCTTTTGTAGTTTTTTTTAATATAGAGACAGAAAGGCATTTTCTTCTGTTTGCCAACCCATTTTATTAGTCTCTTTTTTCCTCTGTACAACTGCCCCATTCAAATGCTGTTGTCACTTTCTTCTGACTCAGCAACGGGAGGAGAGTGAAAACTACCCATGGGTTCCTCCAGGACATGGTCACTGCCCTCCACACTGACATTCGGAAGGGGGTGGAAGCTATGATTGGCTCTCTGAAGGGGAGAAAAACTATGGCCGGTCTCATCGGTGCCCAGGAGAGGGTGAAAGCTTCCGCCACTAGTCTCATCAGTGCCCATGAGAGGGTGAAAGCTGCCACCATTTTCAATGTGAGAAGTATCAGAGGAAGACTCAGTGGTTGGAACTAAAGGCTGGTCAACAAGGGAGGCATTGGCAATCTGGCTTTGTCTGGTGGATTCAAGAGGATAAGCACTGGGCTCAGACCCCAGAGTATGCCCGCTACTGATCCTGCTCTCTTCCTTGTTTATCTTCAGGCTGAGGATCACTTTGCAAGCCTGAGTCTGCACGTCTTCTTCAGGATGGACAATGAGAGCCAACAAGCGCTCAGAAAGGCGGGAATTGTCACCAAAGATGATTTCATGGAGGGAGTTTTTGTTATAGTCCCACTGCATTGACAGGTACTGTGGAGACTGGCGCCCTTCGCTAAGTCTTTCCAGAAGTACTAACATCTCATAAAGCAGATTCCCAGGTTGAGACGTCTGGAAGAGGTTCAGGAAGTCAGTGGGTGCCTTGGAGAAAGAGATGAAAAACACTTCATTCCCAATACTTCAGTTCAGAGCCTTCCTCCTCATTCTTCCCTCTTCATCAGCTCAAGGAATGAAAGGTAACACTAACCCTGGCTCTCCTATTCTCAAGCTGGTCATCACATGTTATCACAAAAAAAGGAAGGGAAAATAAGATGTCAACTTGTATAAATTGTTACTGTATATAATTTTAACATCATAATTTAAATAAAAATGCCCTGAATTTTGTTAAATGGAAGAAGACTGTGACCAAGTTCTCTGCATGCTAGTTCAGCCTATTATCCAAGAGAAGTGGATGGGCAGTTTCTCCATTGTTAAGTGTCATCATGCATTACCTGTCCATCCTTTGATATAGGTCAGATCCAGATACAATATGATAAGGTTTACAAGAATACAACTGTACTGTTACAGGGTATAATAACATTAGCTTGAAAGCCTGCCAGAGCTTTCCTCTGCCTGTCTTATACCAAACATAATGAAAATAGCATTGTTTTGAATTTTTTCCCACATGCTTTTTTCTTTCCTGGGACTGAGTTGTCAGTTATTTTCTCTTAATGGCTCTCCTAACAACTCTTTGTCAAGGTTATTTCTGCACTCCTCTACATTATCTCAGATAAAGATGAGGAAGAAATGCTATTTCTGGATTGGGGCTAGAAGGAGCTTGCATATTCATGATGGGTAACAGGGACAAGGTTGGATCAAGGGGATGCCAAAAATATGGCAGCTAAGTGCTTGATTATGCCTGTCCTCTTGCATCGGAACCCAGAGAATGTAGATAGATTCAGATTTAAGGAACAGCTGAGATACGTTCTGTAGGATCTGGAAGTTCTCCATAAGCAACATCTAGGTCTCTGAAAACATAATTTTATTTTTGCCTTTGAATCTGCTCACTAAAATCTCAGTGTTGCTAACTGCAGTCTCTGGGTCACTTGCCTGTGATTTTAACCAATGCTGTTTGGGATTGACCAGATGTATTTATGTACTATGAATTCAGACCATGAAAATAGATTGGCAGTGCTTAGCTATATGGTGTGATAAATGGACATTCTTATTTTTTCTGCTTTTGATCTGACTTTATTTGGCAACTATTTTGATTTGCCACAGATTAGAAAGCTTTCTGACTGATTCCAGACATAAAACAGGGCTTTAAACTATATTTCATAGATTTCTAGAACTTAGGAGATCAAGCTTTCATAAGTTGCTGCTATGTACTCAGATCTTATGAAAAAGCAAGAGGTGCTGTGGCTCAGTGGCTCAATGATGCTGGAGATGGTCTCTGCTCCAATGGTTCAAATCCTAGAACTGCATGGCGGGGTAAGCTCCTGTTACTTGTCTCAGCTTCTGCACACCTTGCAGTTTGAAAGCACGTTCCATGCAAATAGATAAATAGGTACCACCTCAGTGGGGAGACAAGCTGGTGCTTCATGCAGGCCGGCAGATTCCTGCTGGCTCTGAACTTTCCCAGTTGAAATGCCTGTTCATGAGGCGGCTCTGGTGGAGGAAGGGGGCCTTGATGACGCTGCAGGAAGAGCCGCTCGTCTTTCTCGCAGGTGCAAAGCTAGTTCGCCCTCCTGTGGTGCATCTTGGGAAGCGTGCAAGTATGTACCTAATATAGCTAGTAAACAGGCGGCCAACTACTCCTCTGCATTAACATTGTAGTCTCCTGGCTATTGTAACAATGCCATAGGCTAAATAAATAAAATAAATAAAAGATTATGAAGAAATAAAACTCAACCCCCAAACCTCTCTACAGCTCCCAGAAATTCCTGCTATGCCCTACTGCTTCCTCCCACCCCAGCACAAATTTCTTACCTGACAATTCATGATGTCATATAGGAAGTCTTTCTTCTCAATGAGTGTACCAAGAAATTTGAGAACTTGTATCTGATCAAACAGGTGATAAGATCCATTTTAGAAACTGCCATGTAGAAACTAGACCATTGTAGCTTCCTTTGCAACTAGAGCTCTCTAGCAAATAAAGAAGTATTGCTGGTAATTTTTGTTGTTGTTGTTGCTGTTCCTGGTCATTTCCCCATAAGAGCTTTATTGCATCAATCTAGAGCAGGGGTGTCAAACTGCCGGCCTGTGGGCTGGATGCGTCACGCAGAAGCCGCACCCACCCTATTGCTGGCAATGGCAAAACTGTCCCAATACGTTGCGTGATGTCACGTGACGTTGCAAGTTTGACATGCCTGATCTAGAGTCATCCAATGATTATAAGCCAAAATAACAATAAAGAGTACAGATTTCATATCCCTCCAGTGATGGCTTGAGAGGAAATAGCTCAGCATCTAGGGGCCTGGGTTCCTGAAAAGCTGATCTGCACTGCTCAGTATATCAACACTTCCCAATATACCAGCAAATTGATTGATATCCTCTATTCATTTGCATGTGAGGGAAGGGGAAATTAAAGGTGGAAGTTTATTTATAGTCCAAGATCACTCAAGTAAAAAAAAATCAAACACAGCAGAAGGATAAATCTATTCTGCTGGAAAATAGCCTTTTCCCCTTTCTGTTTTTACTCTTCCTCTCCTGCCTGTCTGTATTAGAGAGAAAAGGCATGAGGAGAAGAGCACCTTTATCAATAGATCCTGATTAGGCAGGCCTCCAGAGCATCTATGACAGATTACCAGTTGCAAAATGTAGTCATGAGTCAGACTGATTGAGGATTCCATGTAATGCTTTCTAGTCTGACAGCAGTTCGGCAAAACTGATTTGATAAGTGGAGTGAGAGGCAGCATGAATTCTAATACCCCGTATTTTCCGGCGTATAAGACGACTTTCTAAAGCATTCAAATTGGCGCTGAAGTCGGGGGTCGTCTTATACGCCAAGTCATCTTATATGCCAGAAATTACGGTAGTTTCCGGTGTATAAGACGACTTTCTAGGCATGCAACTTGACGCCAAAGTCAGGGATCGTCTTATATGCCGAGTCGTCCTATATGCCGGAAAATACGGTAATTATTCTCTGCATTTCTGATGTTGAAGTTGTCAATGTAACCAAACTGACACTACTTACCCAACACAGAGAGTTTTAGCAGGCTTCAGGGTTCTTATTTTTGCAGATGTTAAAACACATATGTTTTAACATACTCCAATGGTGGCTGAGTATAATTAGTTCTCATAAGGACCTAACAGCAGTTGGGGCACAGAATAGTTGCTCTGGAAAAGCCTGAATAAAGAGTTTTTAACATTTTACTCTGGGCCCAACCTTTTTGTTCCATTTTTAATATTCAGGATATGAGAACTATTGTAACCATTTTCATGTTGCCAAAAGGGCAACATCAATGACTAGGAGTAAGCCAATAGCAAAGGATAAGATATCCCAAGGTAGACAAAGAATACTAATGATTTTTAAAAGATCAGAGAAAAAGAAAATACTATTTAGTGTGGACCGAATACACTTAATGATCCACAGAAAGTGGCTGATTGGGCAGGAGGGTGGTTCAGAAACTAGGTTCAGAACTGAGTCAGAGAACTAGAATAAATCAGAATCTGAATGGCTGCAATTAACAATGAATTTAGAGGAAAATTTCTGAATATTATTAGCATCTCTTTATAGACATGTATTTTTGCTCTGTTCCAAGCTTAGCCAGTCTCAAATCCCTGGGCCTATTGAAAGAGAAGAAAGTGCCTGTGTGTTGTGTACCTTGGTTAAAGTGTTTGCGGTGAGCAGAATGTCCATAAAGTTTGTAAGCTGTGTTCTCAATAATGTGTGTGTGTAGTCTGGTATGTGCAACCCATTCAGCAGCTTCAAACCAGCTATTTGCAGATTGTTGTCCCAGTTGCTTGTCACAGTCTCAATGATTTTGGGGACATATTCCTGCAAAGAAAGATATATAAGAAAAAGTGAATTCTCCTTAGCAGTTGACAATCTGTATATCTTTGAGATGGAATGTAAATAGTTGATTTTTGACTTTTTAAAGATACATCTTTAAAGTTAACTGCAGTGCTTCTCAACCTTAGCAACTTTTACATGTATGGATTTCCACTTCCAAAATTCCGCAGCCAACACATTGGCTTTAATTTTAAATTTGTGAATTTTAAAAAAATCAACCATACCCCTTGATCATAGTGCCTTCTACTGGCAGCTGAAAGAATGTCCTTTCAATGAATATGCAACTGTAAATTCAGTGAAAGGAATTTTTTGTTTTAGCTTTTAAAAATTCATCTCAGCCTCCCCAAAACAATTTGTTTCATCTTTATTTTAATGTTTGGAAATATTAGCGCACATGTGTATATATATATATATATATATATATATATATATATATATATATATATATATATATATATATATATACTTTTTTCTTTCCCTTTTTAGTTTCAGCCCAATATGGCATCTCTATTACTTATGTGAAAGCCAAGTATCTTAAATATACCCAGTGCTTTTTTTCTAAAAAAAAAAAAAAAAAAAAAGGTGCCGGAACTCACACACATCATACAACCCGCCTTGACTACCCTACAAGGTTCCATCCAAAAAAGGTGCCAGAACTCCGTTCTGAGCGTTCTATGAGGGAAAAAAGCCCTGGATATACCTCTAAGAGAAGACAGATACCTACTAAATTGAGTAGCTTACTGTTAGAAAGAGAAACATAGAGAACTGCTAGCAGAAAAAGATCTAGTGGCTCATCAAGTCTGCACATTGAATTTTTAATTTTTTAAATTTTTTTTGTCAGGTGATGGGCATGTGTTTATCCCAAGCACGCTTAAGCTTAGTTACTAATGATTGACCCATTACCTCCACTGGAAGTTGGTTCTATGTTTTCACTACTCTTTCTGTGAAGTAATACTTCGGAACATTACTTTTGAACTTCCCTTCTTTTACAGGAAAAGCCTGTCCTTCTTCAAAGGAACAGTATTTTATCCATCAAATGGGTTGGTCTAGTCTACATAAGTGGAAATTTAAAATTGAATAGCTATATAGTAGTTCTGATTCTCAATTACTCTACATTTGTAGGAGAACAAGAAATAAGAGATCCAGAAGGGTTTTTTTAATTGATTGTTCATGAATGTATTGCATTTCCTTGTGGAACTCTTATTTTTTCTAGATTATATTTAAATATAACTTTATTAAAGTATTCACAAGTTTTTAAATTTTTTGTTATAGATTACTGTACTTTTTTGGCTGTTTGGAATTCCTTTAAAGTATGTGTGTGTGTGTGTGTGTGTGTGCGTGCGCGCGCGCTCACGTGCACATGTGTACGTGTGGTCATGTTTATTTATAATGCTCTATCTATAAAAATAATAATAAACAAGTAGAAACAGGAAAATATGCTTTTGAGCATATATGCAGATGATTCAAAATCCCAATTACACATAGCATTTATTCATGCTGCATAGGAACACAATTCCCTCTATGTTTTGAAACAAAATCACTGAATGATATAAAGCAAAAGGACTGGGAGTAAAGTAAAAGTAAAGGTAATTACTAATCTTTCATCTGAAATAGTTGCAACTATGTACTATTTCTTATATAAACCACAGAGAATGCCCAGGAAATAGATAGTTTATGAGTCAATAAATCAACTTTTTAAAAATGTTACTCTCGATTACATAAAACTGAATTAAATACAACAAAGGAACAAAGTAATTAATTTTTATATAACATAACACTTCCTAAGATAATGTAAGACCAAGTAGGTTATATGACTGTGCTTCAATCACGCCAAGGAATAATAGATTTTGTTATGAAAACAGGAAATACTCCTGATTATTCTCTAATGTATTACGAGACCTATATTGATGTTTCTGTCCTGGTACATTTCAAAATCCAAAATGATGCTTTTTAAAAGGTTTTCCAAGTTTATTTAGTGAGGTTTATAAAACTGGGACTTTAAGGAATCCCAGTCATCCAAGCAGAGCTGTCTGGAACTTGAACGTTCATGGCAACTGGACATCTTTTCTTTTTGGTTTGAAATCCAACAGAATAACAGTCTTCAGTCTGATAAAGATAGTTGGATAAGCAGCAAAGCATTTCAAACCAAAAAGAAAAGAAGTCCAGTTGCCATGAACATTCAACTTCCAGACTGTGCACATTATTTTCCAGTTTGTTTGCTAAATGTTGATGTAAAATTATTGACCACAACCCTGTTATATATTCTGTCAGCAATATTGGTTTTCATCATCCATCCTGCACAACCTGGTTTTATATATATAAAAAAAAAATCCGGCAGTTGAGGAAATCCAGGACCTATTCACACCTATGGGTTTGAAATTGCAAGGATTTTCAGACTACTTTCATGGGCAAAATTGTGGCTGCTGCAATATGGCTGTGCTGCCCTGTAGCACCATTGTGATCAGCTGAGGTCATGTGTTCATAATTTCTGATCCTTCTTGCCAGCTTCCCACAGGCTAAGTCAACGGGGAAGCTGCAGAAAGCTGGAAGTCACTCCTGCTCCATTGCTTTTTTTGCCTGTCCATGGTGATTCTGTTTTATCTATTCAGATAAGGAAATATATCTAAAACCATGACCCACAGATCATGGGCTGCACAATATTAGCTTTTTGCAAGAAATATGAAATCTCTCAGTAGATTGTTAGACAATGGTATGTTTTCCCCCTCTGTGTCACTTTCTATATTGAATTAATTTATAGACCATATTTCCACACAAGGGAGAATATACAAAGTAGAGCATTAAATAGCTTTGTTCTTGGTGTTCATTTTATTAATTAAAAATTATTTTTATCCAATCCTTTCTAATAATGTCCTAGAGCAGCTGTCAAAAATAATTAAAATACAATTTGGAAAATAGAATACAGAACATACTTTGAAAAAAGACCTAAAAACATCCAAAAAGGAAGCAAAGCATTAGTCAATAGCAAATATAAGATAAAAAGACCACATCTGTCAAAAGTGTGCTGAGCTCAGAATCCTTATGAATGGTTAGGCAGGTGATAACATCCTTAATGTCAGTTACATATATATGATTATATATGATTTAAATGCTGCCCAGAGTCACCTTTATCAGTGAGATGGATAATATATAAATTAAATAAATAAATACATAAAAACTTCATTACTACAAGAAATCAGTCATCCTAGAGATAAATTTGGGGTCCATACACCATTTCCAAAAACGTTTACCTGGATTTTGATTTTAAACTTCCAGACGGCAGTGAAGGCTTTGAGGGCGTTCAAGGTCTCAGTTTTAGTCTCTTTATCCTTATCATCCAGGAAAGAGGCCACTAATTTTATGTCATCATTGGTGCAACCATTTGCCTAGAAGTAAGAAAGAAGCAATCGCGTGGCTATGCACATCAGCCTTATCAACTACCATATTTGAAATGCACCAAATATGTCATATTCACCATAACACCATCTGACCTGCACGATGTAAGATTTGATGGTTGAGATACCAAATCACAGGCCAAATATAGACAGTAAAGTGGTAACTGTCAAGAGGGATGCAATACATCCAGTGGTGGGATTCAAATATGTGAACAACCGGTCCTCTGTGTGGATGCCGCTTCCGAACGTACATTCTAAGCCTGGGCAACAAGAAATTAGCTACCAGTTCTGCCGAAGTGGTGCGAACCAGCTGAATCCCACCACTGAATATATCTCTATTGACATTGATCCTAAAGAGCAATTTCACAATGGGACTGCAGATTCTAGGTGCAGGGATAGCATAATCTGCATTTTACTGGAATAAATGCCAAATGTATCCCATGTCTTTATCAATTCCACCCGCCAAAATGCAACCACCATATTCCTTATGGATATTCCTGTGTAGTCACTAAATATATTTAATCACAAGCCCCATCAACTCTGCACTGGATTGAGGTGAATTGTAGTAAAACATACTCTGAGAACTTTAATTTTGGCAAGATTCACATAGGATCAAGAATCACTGGGCAAGGCAATTGTAAGATTTTTTTTTATAAAAAAAACTTACCACTAGAGCGGCTTTGGGGTTTTTGACTTTTATATTTGAATGGGATTTGATCTCTAAACAAGGGGACAAGTGCTTAATTTACACTTAATGCCCCCAAGTTCAAAAAAGAACTGAGGAAATCTATTGATCTCCAAAAGACCTCTGTATTGTATTCAGAGTACACACAGGTCCCAGGCTTATCCTGGGATGAAATATATCCTAACTACCTGCACTTAAGTGTACATTAGGACAAAGGTAGTCTCCCCTTCACATTCAAGGATTTCATGAATGATGCACAATGCAGTAAAAAGAACAGTAATTCCAATATCTGTTCCAGGTCCAGCCAGAGTCTGATTTTCCCAAAAGTCAGGAAGGAAATGTACAGGTAGGAAATGTTGGTTTTATCAGCCATGATCTATTAACATACCTTTCAGTTTCTGCTGAAATCTACCTTAATTTTTCCAGTAAAAACACCTTAAATATCTCCCAGTCAAACATTAGGCTGATCTCTGCAGAATCCCTCATCCCCTTTACCAGAAAAAGTACAGCCTTGGAAACTGATCTCTAATGAAATGAGGAATGGTAATAATGGAACTTTAAGGCTGAAGATATTGGGCTATAGACCTGTGCAGCTGCATAAGACTCAACCTTCCTTATCACATTCCACAGCATGTCCTGTAATGTAGGACATTCACCTCAGATTCCTTCAAGCAGATACACTGAGTTATATTACGAAGAGTCATCCTTTTGGTGTCATCATCTAGGTTGGGACTGAGGGACATCAGAAGCCGTCTGAGCTCTCCTGCAACGCTTGCTTTTACAGATACAGTATAGAAAGATTCTGAAGATAGACCTAGAAGCAATCATTCAAAAATGAAATTCCAACATGAAACTGAAGATGGTTTAAAATTCCTGTGAAGACACTTTTGCACTGGAATATCCTACATATACAGGTAGTCCTTGACTTACAATTCATTTAATGACCATTTGAAGTTATAACAGCAGTGAAAAAGTGACTTATGACCATTTTTCACACTTACAACCATTGCAGCATCCCCATGATCACATGATCAAAATTCAGACACTTGGCAACTGACTCATATTTATGACTGTTGCGGTGTCCCGGGGTTTTGTGATTATCATTAAATTATGAAATTCATTCCTATACAATGCAGTAATAGCAATAGCACTTAGACTTATATACCACTTCACAGTGCTTTACAGCCCTCTCTAACCGGTTTACAGAGTCAGCATATTGCCGCCAATAATCTGGGTCCTCATTTTACCAACCTCGGAAAGATGGAAGGCTGAGTCAACCTTGAGCCTGCTGAGATTCGAACTACTGAACTGTTGGCAGTCAGCAGAAATAATCTGCAGTACTGCATTATAACCACTGCACCACCATGGCTCATAACACCAAGTAGGATGATTCTTAAAAGAATTAGACAAGGTTATGGAGAAAAAGTTCACTAATGGCTTATGTATAATATCCACCATCAGAGATACTAAATCTCACTGTGAATTGCTGAGAAACATCAGCAGGAATCATAGAATCATATGCTGGAAGGGACCCAGGAAGTCTAGTCCAACCCCCTGCCCAAAGCAGAAGACCTTATTGTATCTTGGACAAATAGCTATCCAATATTTTCTTGAAGATCTCCAGCAATGGAGTATCCACAACTCTGGGAGGCAAGCTGTTCCATTGATTAATTATTCTTACTGTCAGGAAATTTCTCTTTAGCTCTAGACTGGATCTCTCTGTAACTAGCCTCCACCCATTACTTATTGTCCTACCCTCAGGTGCTTTGGAGGATAAGTTGACCTCCTCCTCACTGTAACTGCCCCCCCCCAAGTACTGGAAGACAGCTTTCATGTCAACCCTAATCCTTCTCTTTATTAGACTAGACATACCTAATTCCCTTAACCGTTCATCATACAGTTTAGCCTCTAGTCCCCTTATCATTTCTGTGCTCTTTGCACTTTCTAGGGTCTCAGCATCTTTTGTGTCATTGATATCAAATCTCCCTCACGTCTTCACCTCTACTTGCAACTGTGTCTCCTTCTCATATAGTGTCCTTGCATGGTGCATACTGGGTTGCACTTGGGACAAAATGCTTGAGTAGACAAGTCATTAGTTTTACACCTCAGTAGGTGATACCTTCTAGCCAATCTTGGCTGTTTTGAAGATCAAGCAAAGTTGGTCTTGTCTACTACTTGGATCCAAGGCCACCTTGGAATTCAGAAGAATTGGTTAAAGTGAGAAATTTAAAAAAAAAACATTATGGAAGAAGGAAATGTTTGGATGGTTGTCATAATCAGCAGCCTAGCTGGACTCAAAGGGTCTTTACAAAGCAGATACAATTATTTTGCTAGCAGGGATAAATTGTGGCAGCAATAAAATGACAGTGATTCTCTGATAGCATATAATTGGTGCAAACTTTTTGACATTCCTACTCAGCTCAACATATCTTGTACTTCCATTTTTCCACCTCACTTGGTCCTACAGCTGCCACATGCTTCAACTCTTTTCCCCAGTGACCCTTGGCCAACAGATAAGATACACTTAGCAAGACCCTCTTCTGCATTTCCAGTTCTCTTTTTCTTTCCCCTTATTTTATTTTAGTTCAACAGTCAAGATGACTAATCAGTGATAAAGCAAACATGACAGTCATAGTGTTCCAGGAAGAATCAGAAGAGGTAAGTGGGAAGGGGAAAGTTGTCAGTTCAGAAACACAGAGCCTGACAGCAGGGTGGTCTATTGCAAATAAGAGTCAGCACTGGAAAGAACAAACAGAGAGAACATGAGAAGCGGTTGAAAACATCCACTGCAGATGGGAATATCAACCTATCAAGATGTTTTCCATTTCCACTACCTGCATAAACCCAAACTGCTGGACTGGCCTTATAATTTGGCATCAACACCTAATAATTCTTTCTACTTCCAGACTGAGAAGATGAGAAAGATACCTCAGAAATGGAAGTTCTCCCCTGCCTATTTTCTGTTGTCATAATGAGATTCATTATTCATATTCTCATTCATATTCTCATCTCTCCCCTGCCTGAAGCTGAATGGAAGTTTTTTGGACCAGGGAAATCCTACCTATTTTTTGCTGTTAGGAATACAAACATTCCCCTCCTTCTCTGGGGTATCAGGGAGGGAAGATGGCAGTGGGAACTGCCCTTGCAATTCCTCATGCCAGGGAAAAGAGGGGAGACATCTTAGGATCCAAGGGAAGGAGAAACTAGTGAGATGATGTGAAGGTAAGAGCTTGCAAGATTAAAATCAAAGAGTTGGAGAGTAATTGGTCCATTTAAAGAGTAATATTCAGGGGTGAGGTATTTGTCACTAGGTGAAAAGATCGGCTCTCAGTCCATTACAAAATAAAGGTAGGAAAATGAGACAGAAGATTTAAATATACAGGACTTCAATCCTGAAGTTTCCATTAGGGCTTCTCTAGTATCTGTGTCCATGAATCTCCGACTGTGAGACTTCTCATTTGGATATCAGTCTCCATGAAGCTTGGCAAGGAGGAAGAGAAAGAGAAGGAGAGCAACAGCAACAACATATATTGTGAGCATGTTCAACCCTTATTTCATTTAACTCACTGGCTAAGTTCATTGAATCGGGGCTGTAGGGGGGGCTTCTGAGAATTGCTAGGAGAGCCTTCGACACCAAATAGATGGCTGTAGCTCCAGTAGCTGCAGTTACCATGTTGTTAGTAGTTATCAGCTCATTGTACTTCATATTGCTTTAAACTTCCAGGAAATCTGATGGAACCCTGCCCTGACTACAGGCCAACCCATCCTTCACCTGTGACAATACTGCACCTCACATGGTTTGTGATGTCACCTGTGTCCTTCATGACAACTCTGGCACATCATCATCATCATAAGGGTTAGGCCTCTGAATCTTCTCTCCTTCTCCTGATATCATGAAAATACTCTGAGATCTTGAGAGATAATTTCTTGGCATTGTATTTGGAATGAAAAGATGTTAAGGGGAATAATTAGTCAGTAACAGAAGACAGGCTTTGCACATAGCAGGTCAGCTAGCTCAATCTCTAGCATTTTTCTACCTATAGAGGGAGTGGGGAGCAAGCAAGATAAAAAAAGACCTCTCTTGTGTGTTACAGTATTTTGGAAAACCACTGTGAACCACAGAAAATCAGCCCTCTCCAAATTGATGAGCTGTAACTAGTAGAAGATCCAGCTAGAAACCCCTAACCTCCATACGAACATAATTTTATTTGGGGGATATGAAATATCCTCTTTCCACAAGTACTTTGTTGAAGAAGAATTTTAATGTTCAAAGTGTAGATGTTTTGAATCCACATTTTAGCTTTTAGCTTTGTTTCCTTCTCCCTGCTGCTCAGTTGTCTGTCTTATAAATATTTAGCTAAAGTGTTATTATTTTGGAAGAGATTATTATTCCTTTAATTGTTTTACTATTTGTAAACCAGATGAAGTTGTTTTTGTAGAAGTATAACTGCCATCAGTAAATCAGTAATGAATTGCCCATTCTGGTGGATTTTGTATATGGGATGTATATCAGGGGTAAAGAGGTGAAATCTTCTCAGGCAGGAAAATATTTTGACTACCCTTAGAATTTAACTGTATGTGTTTCCATGACAAAGAACAAAATATAGCTACTGGATATAACATTTACTTTTTCAGAAATGAATTTAATGCGGCATTTAAACACATGCACACGCAACTTTGTTTACTCAGAAGTAAATCCCACTATGACACATTGCCTAGTAGATGAGAGTATGGCACCCCATATTGCTGTAATTCTGCTTCAGGCAGGGGATACATTTGCTGTGTTTTTAGGCCTCTGAAGACCATTTATCAGACTCCAGAAGAGGGCAGCAAAACTCCTGAGTTGAGTGGCAGCCCCTCTACTCCCAGGAAGCAGCGTTTCTAGGCTGTATCCCAATGAATCAGAAAGAAAAAGCTGCAGATGAAGGAAGCCGATTCTTTGGAACTTGACCTTTGTCTCCTTTGAGGTTCTTTTTTTCAGCCTCATATCCAGCTTTCGTGATCTCAGATGGAAATCATGACACAAGATGACAATTCTATCTCTCTAGTCTGAGAACACTAATAAGAAAAGTATAGTCCACTTTCAGCACTCAAAATGATTGCAATAATTATTCACACTGGCTGACTGGGATTACAACCTAGCTCCTTAGGGCACCAAAAAGCACTTCCAGATGATCAGGTTTTCCCGTCTCTGAATTCTTCTGAATGCAGTTCAAACCACACCTGAGAATGATCCAGACCAGGGGTAGGGAACCTTGGTTCTTTTATGACTTGTGGACTTCAACTCCCAGAATTCCTGAGTCAGCATGGCTAGTTCAGGAATTCTGGGTATTGAAGTCCACAAGTTATAAAAGAGCCAAGGTTCCCCTACCCCTGATCCAGACGGCCTTGACAATTTTCAGAATCATTTGGACAGCAGGATGCTATAACCATAGGATTGTTTCTATGTTTGAAAGTCTGTAGAGATCTTTCAACCCGCCAGCCATTCAAAGCTTGCTATTTCTTGCTAGTACTTGAGAACAGACCATTGTCAACAATGGTGGGATTCAAATATGTGAACAACCGGTTCTCTGTGTGGATGCCATTTCCGGAAGTCCATTCTGGCCTGGGCAACAAAAAATTAGCCACCGGTTCTGCCAAAGTGGTGCAAACCGGTTGAATCCCACCACTGATTGTCAGGTAGTTGGTACTCACTGCTGGCTACCTACTGAGTGTCTTATCCTCTCCGTTCATGTCTCTGTTAAACACCCATCTTTCCTTCTTCCACAAAAATAAAGGATTTGTTTTTATTATACATTTCCCACTCAACAAGATTTACCTAATCATACAATGGTAAGATTTACAAGGAATAAAATATAGTATGTTTCAAGAATCCTTTGAATAAGAACACAGACTGTCCCTGTAAGCACAAGGCAGTGGCATTTGCTGTTTCTGAAGCCTTTTCACACCCATAGCTATGCCACTGACCATGGCTATAACCAAACTGCTCATGATTGCAAGGCCCAATGACATCATCATGTGATTAGCAGGGGTCTTGCATGTGTTCTAGGGTGGTGCTTCAGTCTGGCAGATGTGGATCAATAGAGAATGTAAACATTTGGCAGATAGAATCTGCTCTGCTGTAAGGTCCTATTCCTAAAATGAACCCCTTGTTCATATAGTCATCCTTTGCCTGTTGCACACTGAAGTAGATTGCAGTGAATATATGAACCAATTAACCTATGAGAGGAGCTGAACAGCAATTCTGGTGGGACTTCAGCATTTACAAAAGTATACAATAGTTTGGGAAGAGTGTCCTAAGGCAGGAATCCTAAGCAATTTCTACTAAAGATGTGTTTGTTTTCCAGAAATATGGTGAAAGACAAGGAGAAAATTAGGGGACAGGAGAAGATTCGCATCAATGTTGTGATGTAGCACTTAAGGTGTTGGCTTAAAATAAGGAGAGGGGAGAATACAGGTTCGAGTTCACTTTCAGCCATGGAGGCTCCCTAGGTGATATTGGGCCAGTCATTTTCACTTAGCCTATCTTATTACAAGGTTGCTATGGGTGGGTGGGGGGAATGGAGAAGGGAGTATATTGTATAATATACAAGCTTGAGCCCCTGGACACAGGGAGGGATGTAAGTCTAAGAAATAATACATACAATAATAAAATTCTCCTGCAAGCGCCACTTGTGAGACGGTGATTTCACTAGCAGGTATGTAGTTTTTCAGCATCTAATGATATACAAATGATATTTGCTGACAAGACTCCATTTTAGTAGTGCTTAGGATCTCACCAGCAGCTTAAGAAAAACAAGTAGAGGCTTTTACAAGACAAGTTGTCAAATGTTTTCAGAGATACCCATTTGTATATGTGTCACTGCCATCAGACATAAAAAATGGACACACAGGCACACATGTATATATAAGGGAAGGAGAATTGTAGGAATTTTATGATCAACACATTGGGCTTTCACTTTCTCCATAACTTAAAAGAAAAACAAATTTGCCCGTGGGAACAATTGCATCTATGTACTGGCTCTGAATGTGGATGCAAATAGCTTTATGGCTGGATTGAAGAACTGATGTGATTCAGGCCATGCAAAACAACTCTATAACCTATGCAAACAACTCTGACCTACTGTATGCAATTTGACCCTTCCTAACCTAGAACATCTTATTCGGGATAAAAATAACTCCGGCCCATAAAATTCTGCTTGCACATACTTTTAGCTCCCCAAATTACTCATCAGCTACTATTCATTGTTCACTGTCCACTGTCACATTATCACTGCATGCTCCTTATTAAACAGTCTTCTGCTTGGTAACACCTCTGAATAATTTTTCTTAATGTTCTCAGAGACTTTTTTTTACAAGGGTTGTTTATTTCATGGCATTATTGGAGTCAATCTTTAATCACCATCATTTCTTAGTGATGCTGTTGCTAAGGTTCTCGTTGCCCCGTGTTATGTTTATTCTTGACTTAATGAGCACATTTGGCAGAATGCACCCTCCCACCCTCTGCTTATGTTGTGAAAAATCCCCACTAGATTTCATAGGCCTCACACAGCTGGCTCTTTAAGAGATATCCCACAATTGATAACAGCCAGAACCAGCATCCCTATGACTTTGTGGTAATGGCTATAGAGAGATAGATGATAAACCAAGGTTCAGTCATTGAAACCTCTAGACAGTGAGAAAGGGAAGGGGCACTTAAATGGGCAACATAGATGCTTTCATTGGGAAGCTATGTTAGTAACACTTAAAACTCTATGCTCACCGGGTTGACTGGGGGCCCAGGACTTCTCCCCGAAATCTGGTCAGATGCAAACATTTAAGGATGACTTCACTATTTTTTGCTGCATGTTACTCATGTATAAAAGGGCTTTATTCAACCTTTAACAGATGACCAAAGGAAATTTCTCAATAATCTCTTGTGAAGTTCTCCGTTTTTACTTTCAGAACCGCTCAAATCTGCCACTGATGAGCACCATCTTAGAGAAGGCATTCTGCTTTCTCCTCAGCTGAGGCAGGAGCCTTCTTTTAATGTGATCTTTGCAGCAACACCTACAGGCAGCGTCTGCAAACGAAGGGTGTCTGCCTTTCTGTGCCCCTTTCAAGAAATTCCTGTTCCAGCCACAGGTTAATTCTGCCGATTTCATTGATACAGAATCATTTGATTAACTGATTATCGTTCTTTTTAAATGCAACACAGGAGCTCATCTTCTGATAAAGTTTTTTTTTTCCAATCTCCATGTTCTCTGTCTGTGCACATGTACTCAACCTTCTCAAGCCCACACAAATACACTCACACACCTCTTACACGCCTTTAGTACAGCTGCTCCCCCCACAGCAGCAGCGCCTGCCTGCCTGCTTGTCTGCCTGCCTTCATTCCCCCACCCCCACTCTGCCCTTACAGGGCCGTTTTTTTTTTTTTTCATACTCAAGGGTACAGGATGTTCTGTTCTTTCTCTCTCACTCACACGCGTAGGCACACACCCTCTCCTCCTCCCCCCCCCCCGCCTGTTTCTGTTCCTCAATATCAGGCTTGGGGCCTTCACCTTTTTAACCCCTTCAGCTCCAGTTTGCATTAGGCGAGGCACGGATGACAACACAAACCCTGCTGCACCACCATCCCTCCCTCTGACAAGCTAGGCATTGCTCATTGCAGAGTCGGACAAGCAAATATGTTGGCTTCTCAATTAGCAACTCAGCCTGCTGTTTACCAAGGGGGTTCCTAAAGGGTTGGTGGGCCAGCTGGCAGGGGAGGCCTTGGGCAGGAAGAAGCATTTTTTTAGTGCTGTTGGTGGTGGGGCCAGAGAAAGGCAAGTCTCCCTCTTTCCTGACCCGACTCAGAAGATCAAATTATCTCTTCTCCTTGGGCCCCTCCTTCTGACCTTGCTTTTTCTCACAGGTTAGCTGTCCCTGACTAACAAGGCTAGGAAGAGGATGACGTAAATTCAACCGATAACACCAGGAGATGAGAAGAGACATCTGGCAATCGCTGGCTGGCTTCATGTTGAAGGAAATACTGCCATTTTTGCTGAAGAAGCATCTGGCCAGTCATTGCCTCAGTTTTTCTACAAATGACCCTCCTCTGAGAAATGATCAGAACTCCTAAATCAGGGGTGACAAACTGCCTGCCACAGGCCTTTTGCATCATGCAGAGGCCACGCCCATCACAGCTCTGGCAATGCAAAAAAAGTCAAGATACCTTGTGACATATCACATGACGCGGCAGATTTGACATCCATACCCTGAATAAATTTGGGCATCCAAAACTAGAACGCTTCCTCCCTCCCAAAAACTTTTATTTGATTTTAGGTGGCTTACAATGAAACAAATAAAAATGCAAAATATTCATAACGTAAAACAAAAATACAAATACATAGCGGCCGGGTATAATCTGACCTATTCATACAACCAAGAGACAGGCTCTAACTCATGCTAGGGCCTCAAGCTTGATCACAAGCCACAGGCCAACAGGGATGGGTCCAATCTAATGGGGGTGGGAGAAATGATATTCCAAAGGGTGGGTGCCCCAGGAGAAAATTGTCTCTTCTTCTGGGCCTCATCAGCTGACTCTCCCTAGCTGACCTAGAGCATGCCCTTCTTGCCATATTGGATAAGAGGGGTAGGAACAATTGGGGGGAGAGATTTATATGTTTGGTATTCTCTACACACAACAGCAGAAATGGGTCTGGTAGGATGCTGCCTATGAAGTATTAAAAATTGAAAATGTATTCAGTGGGCACCATAGAATAATCACAATCCCCTCTTCTATTTAAGCTTCCTCATCTGACACATTCTGGATGAGCCTGTTATTTCCATTTGCTAGGCCTAGCCCTAAGCAGAGAATCAGTCTCAGTGAATTTTTGACTCAAAAGGAAAAACAACGGATTCAATAACCAACTCTCTTTTTTTTCAAGGGCACTCCTGTTTCTGCACACAAGCCAGACAGAAGGATCAACTACCAGAACCTGCCCATACTTAATTATCATCATTGGAGATCTTATTTTATGTGCCGTCACTTGAAAGATACAAATTTAATGATATTTGAGACAAGGCCTTTTGACAAATTCCTGCTTTCAGGGGATGGTAATGAGATTGGCTTCTTTATTGTTTTGCATTATACAGTATTGGTAGAGTAGCCAGTTTTGTTGAGTATTTTATATCACCCTTCTGTTTTAATATTAATACTGTTCTCATAGTTAAAGGTTTTTAATACTTTATTAAATTGCTCACTACTCTGCGTAAGTGATATAGAGCATGATTTATCAAACCGCTGTTGCCATCTCCCACAATATTTAAAGCTTTTTTCAATCTCATAAAGAAGAGGAAAAGACTAGATTATGTACACCTGACATTTTCAGGCTATTTCTGCAGTTTTTAAAGTAGAAATATTTTGGAAGGGTGTAAGTGGTACTTAATGCTAGTATAGCAGCCACTAAATAAGCATGGGGATTCCTCATATCCTTATTTACACCATCTGTACATGTTTCTCAACTTTCACTGCAATCCGGAAACTGTTAGAAGAACTAGACTATGATATTAAAAGTAATTAGAGGGTTTGTAAAAAAGGAAGCCAATGTGACCCAGGCTAAACTATAAACAAACAAAGCTCAAGAATTCCTTTCAGGTGCCTGATTCTGCTTGCCAAAGTCAATTAAATTCTTACCATTGACATAAACAGGAACAAACTTCCTATATCTACCAGATGACTCCATGAACAAACTTTGTAAGGAACTCACATCTTTGCAAAAAGCATCTTACTAAGATTAAATCTTCAACCAACAGCTCTTCTGTACCTTGAACTTTGGAAGTTCCTCCAGAAATGAAACTGCCAGCCATTCTCTTAACTCTGTAGGGGAGGATCCTTTCTCACCCAGAGGTCAATCCTGTGGATGAAGATTGCTAGCAAAAGTCAGGATGCACAGCTGCATCTCGATGTATGTCTGAAAGGAAGTTTTCTGTCAAATGGAATGCCACAGCTTTTGAATAATAAATTTTGAAAACAATTCACAGGGAATATTTCTGGTCCCATGCAGCACAATAGTGAAACTCAGCTTCAGAACCAGAGAGACTTATTTTGACACTCATAGAAGCATCATGTTCATATGGCAAATATTATTGGTTAGTGGTATTGTGGTACAATCAGATTTACATTCACACTTCAAGATGAGGAGAAACATTGTGGTTCTATAGCAGGTTTTTATTCTCTAAGGATAACATGATGGTGGCTTCTCTTCTTGCCCCTAGAGTTTTGGACTGTGTGCACATTTTTCATCATGCCAGCATGGCCAGATTTCAGTAGCAACAGGAAATATAATTAAAAACTCCTGGAAGGCACCAACTTGTCTTATCCCACTAAGACAAGCCTGCCCTACTCATGCCGGCAGAGGAGGCCTACTGCAGATCCCATAGATCAAGAAACTCTGGCTGGCAAAGTTTCCAGGTCTTCTCTGCTGTAGTGTCAGCCTTATGGAACATCCTCCAGACCTCCACCCCACCATCCTATCCTAACCTTCAAGGCCTGAAAACCTATCTCTGCCGGTTGGCTTGGGGACCCACAGCAAGAAGGGCAGCAAATACATTGAACCAATCAATCAATAAATACAATACACTTGGACAAAGTTGTACATCCTCTTGGGCAATTTCCAATTATTAGTATAAGGTTTCAACAAACTTTCAACATGAGTTTCAACAAACCTTCCCTCCCCCATTTCTATAACTATATAATGTGCTTAATAGTACTGGCATTATTTGCTAACAATCTTGATAGCTATGATTGCCAGGAATATCTTGTGATTAGCAAGTTCAGTCCTGAATTTTCTATTCTCTGTTTCAACCAAAACTCTCCAAACCCTTTCCAATATCTATTTACTGCAGGGAAAATCTGCACAAGATTGCCAAATACTCAACTTATATTTGCATGGCTTTTTCGGTTTTGTTCTTTCAATGAAGTGCATTGGCTCCTATTTCTTTCTTTCTTTTATTTTTACCTATTTCTGTGCTACATGTAATACTAAACGATGGGCAGAAATATCCAGAAGACATTGAATATATTCCACCAAAGTACTTGCACACTGAGGAAAGCTTCTACTTTTGAATGTCTACTTCTCATGCCCTTATTTTTTAAAAAGGTGAATATCCAATTAATGCCATTTTTCCAGCAAAAACTTGCGAATGTTGGCAAGGGATAATTTAAGTCTAATATGCTTCTGGAAGGGAGCGAATTAGAAATCTGTCTTAACAACTGAGATTTACCTTTCCATCCTAACAACATTTTATTTATTTTGAGCCATAATCAGCAAATTAGAAGAAAAAAAAAACCACAATGCAAAAGGAAAAATAATAGTGTTCAGCCTTGCCCCATTTTTGCCTTGTTTCTACTGCAGCAATGTAAAATTTAGCTATTGCACCAATAATAGATAACATCATATCTGAGAGAAGAAGATTCATATAATAATCATCCATTCTTCTTGGGTATTGATGCAGCAAGCATATGACATATTTATTCTGAAGAGCCCTACAGAATCACAATAGAGTAGGATATGGTAAGGTATTTCTATTTCCACTGAATATTGCACCTTCTTTTCTCTTAGGATGTCAAGCTTTTTCTTCTTCCTCATGTAACTTTGATGAGTGTTTTCTCCGCTTGGCAATCCTTTCCTCCTCCCCTTTCGTAGCAACATTCTGTTCTTCATCGTTTCATTTTTTCCAGCTTTTCCTACATCTTTTTGTTTCTCCCTTTTTCATTGCTATTTAAATGCCTTTTTTCTCTCTCTACATTCTCTCTTTTCATGTAGGTGTTCTAGACTATGCCATGAAACTTTCTTCTCAGGATATTGAAAATCTATTATGCTTTGCTTGATGGAGGCCTGGGTAATGACATTCCCTAAGTGAGCCACTCATCTGTAATTTTTGCCACATAATGTTTAATTTAGAAGAGTTCATATTTCGGGCTTACACAATGAATTTGTGGCAGTTTGGTTTTTTTTTTTTTTTTTAAGGCTTAAATCACAGACTTAGGAGTGGGTATTTTGATGGCTAAAGCATACAATACAGTATATGGCAGAAAACCATTTATAAACACTGGTAAATGTTTTGTATATTTTAAGGAGTTCTTAACCACAAACTAAAGTGAACATCTTTTTTACAACACTACCTAGGAAATGTAATCTTACTGGAAAAAAAAAACTTACAAACTGTGGTGTACCAGTAGTTGAAGAATAGTTGAAGTTAACTAGTATTTCACTTGATTATAAACAATTTTCTGATGATGGAAACTGAGGCTGTTTCAACCAGACTAGACTATCAAATAAGCTAATCAACAAAGTTCTAGCCCATGATTGTTCAGCACTGGTCTCCATGATGTTGCAGGAATGAAAATTAGTATAATAAGTTATGTATGTTTTTCAAGTGGTTCATTTTTTTAAAAAAAAATTGAGGCTTCGCAGTGTAAAAATAAGGTGATTTTTGGGAAGAGGACAAATAGAGAAAAGGGAAGCATGTTTCCATGGTTTGAAATAGAAATGATCCAGATCTTGCCATCATTTCAACAGCTCACTGTTTCTGCATTCTTAGTTTGCCTTTTAGGAGGTATACCATGGGCCCCAGGTATCTGCCAGGAGAGCAGTCAAAAATGTCAAGATGGTGCTCATAATCATGCAGTTGAAACACTCCCCTCTTCTCAATGCATGTAAAAAAGGTAAAGGCTTTGATCATACGGCTGTGGCTACATCTTGACTTTTTGGGTCATCTGCACAGACACCCTGCCAGGGGCAACGATGAGCAATTTATGCTGGCGAGGATTTTGTCCAAAGCCTTGAAATTCCTATGCATGAATTTGCAAGCAGTTTGCCACAAAGATTTTTTTTTAAAGCTTCACAGATACCACAAATTTGTGAGGTCATATTTATCCACATCCAGTAAGAGGCAAGCGCCTCTTTCTTAGGAGTCATTGGAAAGTCTGTAAGTAAAGATCCATTTTAAAGTCCAAGTAAACTCATGCATAGGAATTTCAGCAGCCCCGAGTAATTTGAGATGGGTTGAGATTGGCTAATACCTTGTTCCTTTAGTTCTGACCTGATTTAAACTCATGCTTTCACATTGAGTTCCCATATAAGTCAGAAAAGGTAATCTCTAGCCTGAAGCATTCCTCAGGACAACTGTGTTTTGCTTCCATTCCTGCTGGTGGGGATGACGGATGTAGCTCAAGGCATCAAAACCCTTTCAAAAAAGATTCCAAAGGGCAAGAGTGTCTTCAGCTGTTCTTTGGCAAATGAAAGTGCCATATTTTTGTATGTTCTGAAAAAAATGGTGGGCAGAAAGTACAGGTAGTCCTCGACTTATAATAGTTTGTTTAGTGACCATTCAAAGTTACAACAGCACTGAAAAAAGTGGCTTATGACCATTTTTCCCACTTATGGCCATTGCAGCATCCTCATGGTCACGTGATTTACGTTTGGTTCATCTTTATGATGGTTGCAGTGTTCCAGGGTCACGTGATCATCTTTTGTGACCTTCTGGCAAACAAAGTCAATGGGAAAGCCAGATTCACTGCACAACTGAGCTACTAATTTAACAACTCTAGTGATTTGCTTAATAACCATGGCAAGAAAAGTCGTAAAATGGGGCAAAACTCACTTAACAAATTTCTCATTTGGCAACATAAATTTTGGGGTGAATTGTGGTTGTAAGTCGAGGACTACCTGTAGTTCAAATTCTTGTTTTGGATCAGAGAGGGCTTGTAGTAGATCAGCAGTTTGGATAGAGGATTGTTGTTGTTTTTTTCTATACAGATTAATGGCTCATTGGGCAGAGTAAGATATCATCAGCCAAAGTTTCACTAGCAGTCCTGACTGCTGCTTTTTGTAGAATGTGTTTTACTTTTTGTAGTTCAAAAATAACAAATCCTATTAAAACTATTTGCTGCTGGTCTAGAATGCCTAAGTTGGCAGGTGGCAGGACAAAGATTTGCTCCCACTAGATTTTTAAACTAGATTTGAAAAGCAGACATAAATTCATGTAAGAATTTAACCCATCTCTAACTGTAAGGTGAATAGTTAATCAAAGTATACATCATGCAGATATTTGTGTTGTTCTTGAAAATTCAGGCTGTGGAAATCAAGAGATTTAAAAGTGTTGCTGAGCATTCATAATGTAATATGCAATAATCCTGAATCTCAAACAGCCTGTCTGAGGCAGCATGATGGTGTCCTTTGGAACACAATCATTCTGTTCCCCATTTTAGAGATGGATAAAGTGAGAGGCTTTGAGCTGCCCTAAAGCTTGTGAACCTAAAAGAGAGTGAGAAAAATAAAAAGAGCAGGAACACTCCTCCCTGAATCTCTGATCTTGAAATGGGAGGCAGGCAAGAATGTGAAGATAGACAGACAGCTGGAATCCATGAATGTCTCTCTTTATGCCTTGCAGTCTCCGTGGTCTGCTGCTGTGTTTCAGGAGGACTGATGCTGCTGACCACAAGCCCGCAGGAGTGGTTTATCTAGCGACACAGTACACCCACTTCCCTGGCTGCTGAGTCAGGCTGTTCCCTTTGCTGCCTCGTGCTCTGTACATTGTGTTCCAGCTCTCCTCATTGGCACGTAGCCCAGCTCACATCAGCTTCTCGCTCTTGTTTGTGTTCTCAGTTTGCACTGAGGGCTGGTTTGCAACTCCGCAATCCTCCCCTCCCATCTCTGACTCCTTTCCTCATCCTTGCAGAAGCTGGGGCTCCTCAGTCAGGAGAAAAAGGAAGCCTTCATACAAGGCTGGGATAGCACCAGGTATCCAAAGGGACACAGTTCTTTTATAAAAGATGGATTCTGATCAGTCACACATTGTTGCCTGGGTGTTATTCTGGAAGCAAAACATCACCCTTGCCCTGCAAATCTAATGAAGCAAATAAAAGAAATCATGGTTACAGCAAACTGACATGCATGATTACATAGAAACTTCCTGGGAAACAAGTTTGGAGCATTCTTTCAGGACCAGTTGACCCTATTTTCTAAAATCCCAAGTAAAATGCGGTCTCTGCACCATTCTATTAACCCCTTACTGCATGTAGATGAACACACAGGTTTTTGGCCCATTGATATTGATATTATGTTTGTACTTCATGCTGCATTCTAATTTCTTCCACCCATTGTTTGGCTTAATTTTTCATAGTTACCCAAGGTGAGGCAATGTTATAGCTATTGCCCCTTGTTATAGCTATTGAGCATAGGAGCTATATATACTGGCACATTGACTACATCAGTGTACCTCTTCCACAATCCATGGAGAGACTTTCTGTTCAATGAGAGCCTCATTATCCTGCAAGCTGTACTGTATATAACACTAAAAAGTTAACTTTGCTTTCAGAGAACTGGTATGCTCAAACACAACTATTTCCAAACTTTTTAGGTTGAGCCCGATGCAAACAATCAAACAGTGACCTTCTTGGGGAAAGGATAACCTCAAATTATAAATACAGAGATGTTTCAGAGATTCACAAGGCCATCTGAACACCAACAAAGTCTTCAGAGATTAATGAGACCATTTTAGCTATTACCAAATGCTCAGGAGATTAATGACACTCTCTGAAATATTCATAATGTTCTGGGGCCTGGCAATGACCTCAAGGTCACATAAGGCTGGGAATATCTGAAAAGAAATATGAGTGTATTGGGATTTGGGGCGTACATGGGATAGAGCATGAATTATAGGGGGAAAGTACGGAGAAAAGGACATACAAGATCAGAGGCTGGGATTGTAGCTATGGAAAGGGATGTATGTATGTATGTATGTATGTATGTATGTATATATAAAGATCCAGAGATCTTTGTGAACTGAAGTAGGAGCATGAAAGCTAGAAATTACCTAGACTTGGTGTAATAGATGCAATTTTCCATATGTAAAACTAGAAGCATATTATCAAGGTCCATTTGCATTAGAAGTGCCTTTTATTTAAGTTAAGTTATCAGGAAACTCAGTCATAGGAAACTCAATCAATCATCATTTCCAGTTAAAATAAAAACTCCTTGTTATACTTGAATTGTTCTTTGGGGCCAACAGAATAGATTTGATGCCCTTTAGTCATTCTGTTAGCCTTGAGGCTAACATTATTTATTCATATTTATGTGAGTCACTCAAATGTCTCCCCACTAAATAACCCACCTAAAAATACAACCGAGAGAATTTTGTAAAGAGGCCTATTTGATTGAATCTTATCAGCTTTGTGATATTGTTCAAAAAAGCTGAGGAGAAAATCTTAATAGATAAGTAACCTTCTCAAGATTTGGAAAAAATTTAATGTAACCTGTAGCTTCTATTTTAAATTCCTAAAGTCCTTCAGCATCTGGTGACTAAACTGCCAGTTTTTGTCAATGTGATTTCCAGCATGGGGATGCCTGAACAATGCAGAACATATTAAGCTTCTATAGAGCTTAACACCTATTTTACAGTTTTAAAAAAAGAAGCCAAAAGACACCTTGCCCATCCCAACAATGATCCTTATAAATCCAATAATAGAGTTTATTGGTAGAGTTAAATCTGGAAAGAAAGAAAGACCCAATCCCTGTGATTTAGTGTCCTAAGAAAGGAGTGTGGGGAGACTTCCGGTTCCGGTATACAGCGACACCGGTCACGTCTGGGGACTTGTCTCCAGCCTGGCCAGGTTTTCTGCGTCGGTAGACCCCCCAGTGGGGCAACCACTGAGAAGGAGGCTTGCTGGTGACCACGGGAGAGTGGCAGCTTCTCCCATGGCTCCAGCTATTTCCTTAGGGCCAACGGAGCAATGATCGTCCTGCAAGATAGCCGATTATCCTGCTGCATCAGCCGAAGTCACAATTACAGCTAAGCGATATTAGACCCACCATGGAGGATCCGGGTGAGACCCCTTTAGCCCCTCTCTTTCCCTTACTTGGTTTTTTTTTTTGTCTGAAAAAACTTGGGTTGGAATTATTTCCCCATTTGGAAAGGGAGGCTTCTGTATGTGTGGGAAGAGAGGCGTTGAGAATAAAAAATTTGTAAAGACTACACTCTATTTTCACTCCTTTTGGATACAGAAAAAAAACAAAAACTTTTTTTTAAATTTTATTAAGAGCTAATATTGGAAGAATACTTCTTTCTCCACTCTTTCCTTTAAAGAGACAAAAAAAGGGGAAAAAATGGTGTCTGGAAAAGTTTCTTTTTTATTTACTGAGGACATTTAGTGGTGAAAAGTTAATGTTGCAACTATTCTTTGGATAGAAACCTGACCTTCAAAATATTCCTGGAAGAGATAAGCTGGTGCAGCTGTGGGAACTGAGGGGGTGGACACTGTTTAATTACAGCCTTCATTAAATAATAATAATAATAATAATAATAATAATAATAATAATAATGAAAATACTTTTTGATTACTTTTAAAATGGAGAAACTCCACTCTCATTTAAATTGCAAGCTTATACTGGAAAAGATTTATGAGGTTTCTGAAGAAATATGTGCTATAAGGAAAAGGATTACTACAGAACAAAGAGTCAATGCTACCCCAAACTTTCAAACTGACCTTCAGATTACAGCTGTTTATGCTAGAAACCAAAACATACCAGAAGAGGAATTAAAGGAAATTAAAGAGGAATTTGTTACAATGAAAGAGATCACCACAGAACTAAGAATCAGAGATTCTTCTTCAAATTTTAAAAATGACTTTCAGATTATACTAGACTACTCTACAAACCAAAATACACTAAAAGAAGACTTCATTGAGGATACAGAGGAACCTATTTCATCCTACAAGCATCTTATCTACAGTTGTGAGGACCAGAAAAAACAAAGATTGAGATTTGAACCTTTAATGCAGTGAGGCTTCAAGAATAAGAGAAATGGAGGTCCAATCCAGATGACAGGAAGCTTATTACTGCCTCAAATAACATCACAAGCAACAAAGAGAGATTTACCGGTTGGAAGGGAAGCGTTGTTGTGGAAACCTGCTTGGCAGAAACAAAAGCCTAGAATAAAACTGAAAAGAGAAATTTAAAATTATATATATTGGATATAAGGCATTTTAGAACTATGGACTGAGTTAAGGATTAAGTTTTTGAATAGAAATAAGAAAAAATGGGTGATTAATGTATGGAAATTACTATATAATGGAATGAAGAAAAAATGAAGAGATGTTTTAGATTGGGATTGAATTAATAATTAATTGAATGTGATTTTAATAAGATGATGTGTTCTCTTTGATAATATGGATGATATTAGGTTTGATAATTTAATTGGATGAAAACAGAACCTTGTTCAAGGGACTCAAATGATTTAAGGTTATTATTTTGTTAACAAAAAATTGATGGATTAGATATGTATAGGATAGATTAATTTTTATTTTAATTGGGAGATATTTGTAGAAGAAGAAATAAACAAGATTTATGATGAAATTAAAGAATTAGGACATATTTAGAAGGGA